CTTGTGATAACTTGATCAATATCAAGTTGATCAATATATAACTTGATCAATATAAGACTGTTGCTTGAAGGAGCCCGAAGGTCCAGTCTGCCTCTCCCTAGCACGCACGCACGCACGCACGCACACTGTCTTACAGGCTTAATAGAATTCTACGATCAGGTGACAAAGATTAAGCAAGAAAGAGAAGGATGAGCGGACTGCATTTTCTTGGACTGTCGGAAAGCCTTTGACACAGTACCCTATAAAAGGCTGCTGCATAAGCTGGAGAAACGGGCAGTAGTAACTGGTAGGGCGCTCCAGTTAATAAGGGAGTACCTAAGCCATAGGAAGGAGAGAGTTACAGAGAGGGGTGAGACCTCAGGTTGGCGTGAAGTCACCAGTGGAGTCCCACAGGGCTCTGTACTCGGTCCAATCCTGTTTCTGATATACGTAAATGATCTCCCGGAGTGTATAGACTCATTCCTCTCAATGTTTGCTGACGACGCCAAAATTATGAGAAGGATTAAGACAGAGGAGGACTGCTTGAGGCTTCAAGAAGAACTGGACAAACTGAAGGTGTGGTCGAACAAATGGTTGTTAGAGTTTAACCCCAGGCAAATGTAATATATTCTCTCTCTCTCTCTCTCTCTCTCTCTCTCTCTCTCTCTCTCTCTCTCTCTCTCTCTCTCTCTCTCTCTCTCTCTCTCTCTCTCTCTCTCTCTCTCTCTCTCTCTCTCTCTCTCTCCACTCTTCAATATCATGTTCTTTACTTCCCCTAGTCTCAGATCGAAACGGAAGGCACGTTATCTATCATCTGATGCCTCTGTTCACCTAGTAGTAAATTGGTAACCGGGGTATTAGGCAATTGTTGCAGTGGGCTGCGTCCTGGGGGAAGTGTCGGAAGTCCATAGAAGATAGAAGAAAAATGTTTATTTCCTGGCTAGAAGTGTGTGTGTGTGTGTATATATATATATATATATATATATATATATATATATATATATATATATATATATATATATATATATATATATATATATATATATATATATATATTATATTTTCCCCTCATTAACCATGTATTTCTTTCTCTCCTTTTTATCTACTCTCTCTCTATCTCTCCCTCACCTCTCCCCTCTTCCCCCTCACCACGATATCGCATTGCCAGACACCCAGATAACGCCAACCCCACACACACACACACACACACACACACACACACACACACACACACACACACACACACACACACACACACCTTGATATCCCCCAGTGACCTTACAGGGGGAAGCTGGTGGCGTTATCTCCCCTGAGTCTCTAGCCTCTCGTCCCCAGATCAGACCCGTCGGGAGGTGCTACACCTTTCAAACCCAGTTTGTGCTTCTTATTCAACTTAATAATTCGCGTATATTCAGGTCACAAGTGTTAGTAAATTAAATTAGATTCAATAATATTTGTAGTTAAAGTGTTGTTGTTTTTGTTTACAATTGGTAATAAAGAATAAAACATCTGCCAATGAGTTTGAAATTGCAAGAGAAATTGTAATGGAAATAATATGGAATTGTTTTAGATATCACTGAAGTGATTGTGAGGGAGATAACTATGTACTACAGCCTGTTATCGTACCACAGCTCATCTGACGCCTGATTACAGTAGTATTGGATGAGTTTATTATTCAATTCCATTTGGAAGGAGCTTTATTTAGTACTAAGGTGCGGGTATGTTTTTAACAGGAGGAGTTGTGAATTTGTTGTTGTTGTTCAAGATTCGCTGCCTGGAACAAAAAATTCCCAAGTAGCACGGGCTATGGTGAGCCCGTAGTGGACTAATAAGGAGTTGTGAAGGCAAACCTTCCTCGGTTATCGGGCTCTATGTGTTGCAGGTCTCTTACTCTCTCTCTCTCTCTCTCCTCTCTCTCTCTCTCTCTTTCTCTCTCTCTCTCTCTCTCTCCCTCTCTCTCTCCCTACCCCCCCTTCCCCTCATAATTAATGAACACAATTACTAAGATTTATTATAAACTTCCTGGAGCCCATAATTCACGTTAAATCTGCTCTAATATCAAAAAAATATTACATACTTTTGTGAGGGATGAAATATTAAGGAAAAAAGACGGGGGAGACTGTTGTGTTTTGGTATGCACTTCCCTGGCGGCCGGGGCGGTGCTGGTTGCTCGCCCCTCTCAACCCGCAGGTTCGAATCCCCGTCACGGCCCTTGTGGATTTGTTCATTTGATGCATCACGTTAGTGTGAGCTCTGTGTCCATGTAACTTAACTTTACCTCCTAGATATCCACCTATGTCTTGCTGTTATCAGATATGAATGATTGATGACTAACTTGTACAACTAACTAATATCTGTCGTGTATAAACTTAAGAAAATTGTAGTCCATCTGTGCATTTATTCCAAGTTACTAACTGCTCTCTTGTTGCAATTACTGATGTTAATTCAACATGTAATTATTGTCATTCTTCTACTTCAGTTCACTTGTCCAACCACTTGAGGTGGACGGTAGAGCGACGGTCTCGCTTCATGCAGGTCGGCGTTCAATCCCCCGACCGTCCACAAGTGGTTGGGGACCATTCCCTCCCCTCCCCTCCCCCTCCGTCCCATCCCAAATCCTTATCCTGATCCCTTCCCAGTGCTATACAGTAATGGCTTGGCGCTTTCCCCTCTGATAATTCCCATTCCCATTCATGCTTTTGATCTCAATTAAGTCTTAAGTCTTAGTTTTTATTTTTTTCCCCAACATATTGCCGGAAACACTGAGCGTATTAGTGGCTTTAGGCATAGTATATACCAGCTTTATCTAGAAATCCAACAATATGTGTGTAAATCAATATAAATGTACGTACTGTTACCTAAATACAAAAAATTAACTAATAAAATTACTTTAATTTAATGAAATGCGAGGCTTGATCTATTATTATCTTCCAATATTCGTGAGTGTATATCAGGGAACCCGGACTACGACTCCCCAGCGCTGTTCACTCAGTCACAAGGCCCCCTGAGGAGTGTGTATTTACTATTTGTACCTGCAGAATCGAGCAATTTGCTTTCCGACCCCGCCTTTCTAACCAATCTATTTTCCTCTATTATGTCTACTACGTGTGTGTGTGTCTACTCACCTATTTGTGCTTGCAGGGGTTGAGCTCTGGCGTCTTGGTCCCGTCTCTCAACTATCAATCAAGTAGTGTACAGGTTCCTGAGCCTACCGGGCTCTATCATATCTACACTTGAAACTGTGTATGGAGTCTGCCGCCATCAATGTGTGTGTGTGTGTGTGTGTGTGTGTGTGTGTGTGTGTGTGTGTGTGTGTGTGTGTGTGTGTGTGTGTGTGTGTGTGTGTGTGTGTGTGTGTATTGTATAAGGAGTCGTAGAATACACATCAGTTAAATTTATCTCGAAGTTAAATCTCTTTAATTTAAGACATTCACGTAATTTGTGTTTAACTAATTAGTTTACTAAACCTTTGTTGGTTTAGATAAGTAGATGTAGGATCATTATATGAGCAGGAGCCTAATTACAGTACAGTAGTTAGGTATAATGATTTAGGGGTTATAAATTTATATAAATTATATAATTATTATTATATAACGAAACATGAAATATAAGTCTGATCTATTAGCCTCCACTAGCAAAATCTGGGTACAGCACATGGATATCTGCCAATATTCCTGAGTGTATGAAGTAATTACAGAGCTCAAAGTACCTCATACCATTTGGTCTGAAGTCACTGATAACAGGGCAATCACAGATATAGTGTTGGAGAATATGTCCCAGCTCTTGTTCACATAGTTTACAATTGGAATGTTCATCATTGGGGGAGATTCATTTCCTGCGGCCACCTGCCATAGATATTGATATCCTAGCCTAGTTCTGGCAATTACAATGTCACACTGTCTAAGTGGATGTTTTGTGCTGCCCGTTCATATGATTTAAGTTTCTAAACATGGCATAGCTCTTTATACTCGTGCTTTCTGGTCTTTGGGTGTCAGTAACTGCTTTTCTGTCTTCCCTAATTTTCTGAAATATTGCGGCTTTTACAGCCGAGATTGGAATGTCCATATCGAACTCAATTTCAGGCTTATCACATGCAGTTTTAGCTGCCTAACATCATGGCAATATATTATTGCCATGTGAGATGGTATCCAAACAAAATAGACTCTGAAACTCTTGCTCTTTGCTTTGATAATGTGGTTTATAAGGAATGTTACAACATTCCTTATTTTGCATGTTGGGTTTGTAAGGGCCGAAGAGTTGATTTTGAATCACAGAAAATTTATGTGAGCTGGGGATGTTGGATGAGCTTGTAGCTCATTAAGAAAATCGTGAAGTTGCTGTTTAGTCAGAGTTGATTTGTTTTTGTATTGAGGCTGATGTTTTCTCCCTTGATTTCATGTATGACTAACCATCCCGTGAGATGGGAATATCAGATGAACTTATAGCTAGTTTTTGGTCTACACTGTGTGAACTTTCATTTCATCTTCTTGCAAATAAATTATTATTATTATTATTATTTTTATTATTATTATTATTATTATTATTATTATTATTATTATTATTATTATTATTATTATTATTATTATTATTATTATTATTATTATTATTATAGAAATATTTTTATTTGTAAATGTGTAAATGAATAGTGTGCTAGTTTACTGAGAGTAATATATTCTTATATATTGAGGCTAACTTTGGATTACTTGGTCAAGATTATACACCATATATACATCCAGGATTCAAACTTGTAATACTTGGTTAAGATTTTTGTCTTTTTCTTTCATAATTCAGAACTATAGTACTTAAATTGATGTAAAATCGTTGCTTATTCTGGGAATAAAATAGTTTGTTATTGTAAAAAATGTTATCATATCATTACAGTTTTGTCATGTTTAGTTTAGTACTCGATACGACTAAAAAAAACTAATAATATACGTTGTAAAGCTTTTACTCTGTAATCGTTCATATAGGTGCACCATTCTCATAATTTTGGTCAACTTAAAATTGTTAATAGCGAAAGATATATGGCATACGGCCGGTAAAGGCGCCTTCTCAGGGTTGGCAACAGTTGACTCCACTCTTGAACTTGATTACCTCACAGCTTAGAATTAGGTAACTAAGTTCACCGGGTTCTTTTACCACGATCGCCGTCGCCTCCTTCATTCACAACAACAACCAGGTTGATTGCTGTATTTTCCACCACAGACGTGGTTGATTTATTTAGTTTAGGCAATTTATTTGTACGCCATAGTTAGTTGGTGTTAAATATCATCATATGTGCTCTGCTTCACGTATTTCAACCGCTTAATAGTCTCCTATTTTGATTTGCTCATTAAATTTTATTTTGTCGGAGACAGGAAGCCTGTGAATATATACTTTAGCCATATATATCTCAAATGATATTAATTATATCGAGGGTCTTTTGCCTAACTCTCAGCTACCTATTTAATGCTAGGTGAACAGAGGCTTTAGATGAAAGGAAAGGTAACTAAAATATTTCTGTTCCACCCGGGAGTCGAACCTGGGATTCCTGACAGTGAGTTGAGACCATCACCAACTGTACTACTGTACTCGTCCCTTAGGGGGTAGTGGAAAAGCATGTAATCGTCTCGAGAAAGGAATTCTCAATTAATTTAGCTAACTGGCTTATTCAGATTATATGCAGGGTCCAGGAGCTACAGTGTATATAATATATATTATATGTACAAGTAGGTACATTGGGTTTACGAGAGCACATAGCATTGATGATTTTACAGTCTTGTAAAGCCACTAGCACGCATAGCATTTTGAGCAGGTCCTTAATCTAACAGATAAATTTAAGTAGGTAATTTGTAGGAAAATTGAAAGAAGATAACAGGTACTTTGTAAGAAAATTTGAAGAACATTAGTAGGTATAGTACAGTGAAATTTGAGAATTATCAACAGGTACACCGTAGCACCTGTAGTCGGGTCTCCGGGGTTAGATTCCCGAGGTGGGACAGAAATAGTTGGGCATTTGCAGACGAGGAGTCACAGTAACGTGGCTGAAATGTTCACTAAACCACACACTAGAAAGTGAAGGGATGACGACGTTTCAGTCCGTCCTGGATCATTCTTAAGTCAATTGTGTCAATCACAATCGACTTGAGAATTGTCCAGGATGGACCAAAACGTTGTCGTCCCTTCACTTTCTGGCGTATGGTTTGGTCAACATAGTTGGGCATTTTACCTTTTATCTAATGCCTTTGTTCAGTTCGCAGTAGATAGGTACCCAAGAGTTAAGCAACTGTTATGGTTGTGGGGTTGCACTCTGGCAAAAGTCAGAAATTTGGCTTTCAGGGGACCTCGATGCAAGCCTAAAATAAAGTATATATATACGAACTGTAGTGCCCCGTTAGCCTGTACCCAATGAAGTACTGTCAGATTGTACACAAACACTTGTACAATACTCATTTGTTAATAATTGACACCAGATTAGGTTGGTTTAGCTTATTTTAGGTTAGGCACCTTTTAAAATCTGTTGATGCACTATCTTGGTTGCAAAGTGACTTGTATCCATATCTAAAATGCTTAATTTTGTCAATGATGTCCCCTTTATTTTTAATTTTATTATTACTTTTGTTTCTTTTAATCATCTTTAAATCATCACAGTACAGCCAAAAACTAATTCTCTATAAATTCCATTCACATCTTATCAACAGGAAGATGCAGGTCTTCAAGGCTGCCCAAGGTCTACAGATCTTCAGAATTATATCTCCAACATGCAAACCAACAGTATCATTGCTTAGGAATTTACAGACATCAAGTGCTGAACCAGAGACCCAGTTTCACGAAGTAAGGGTTTTGTATTTTTTACATCCATTCAAATGATATGGATTCAGTCTGGTTTCCTGGGGTGATTTCTTCATGATTCTTGATGTTCTTCTTGCATTGAACACTAGCATAAAGTTGCCCATATTGACTGCTGTTGGTCTTCGAACATTAGTGGTTTAAAAATCTAAATTTCATTCAACATTCAGTAAAATGACACAAGTCACCATATCATCCACTAACATCCTACAAGTAAATACTGTATGTTAATATGGTAAATAACTACAAGTAAATATTTAAGGAAAAATATTTGTCACCAAAATTTACAGTTGTTACACCAGGCAAATGAGTTTGGAGCAAGGCCAACTGGGACCATAGTGACCTATACTGCCACCTGGTGATAGTCTTTGACATCTACAAGTTTCATTATTTTTATCCAAGTGAAAGATTTACTGTTTATTCTTTAATAACAATGCATTTCAGAAAGATCAAAATATATTATTTATCAATGTGAGGGATTGGCTCCTTTTTCTTCTCAGCATACTTCTCCTTCCCCATTGAAAGCCATACCAATTCCTTCCCCTTTTTTACACTTTTTTCATTACTGCACCAGTAACTGTCAAATCATTTACTTGTGCTATACACACTGTATACGTGTACAGTATGTGTGAGGAAGCATGCTGGATATTTTTTCCTATGGAAGACTAGTTACAAAGAGAAAGTACAGTAGTGTAATATAAACTGTAAACTATTGTCGGGATGAGTTGTACAGTACTTTATATACTAGTACAGTGTCTGTTCACAAGGTTAAGGAATTTTAAGTTCAATTCTGAATTATCAAAGTCATTTGTCATTCTGAATTATCTAAACCTAGCTACAATTTTTTTAATTTTAGAAAATCATTCCAAGAACATAAACACTTTTCATTGAAACTATAGATGCATTACATATATGTATTTTTCAATCTTTTTTATAGATAAAAGATACAAATTCTGGGAAAATTCGAAAAATAGCCTACAAAAAGCTAATTGGTCCCCATCACCAAGGAATTTTCTATGTACCGGGGTTTATGTCCAATATGGCTGGAGCTAAATCTGCCGCACTGCACTCCTTTTGCCACGAAAATGGTTTTCCATATGTCAGGTAAAGTTATGCATAGTGGATAATGTTTAACAATTGAGTGATCTAATTCTCTCTCTCTCGAGAGAGAGAGAGAGAGAGGGTGAGTGAGAGTTTCTTAGGTTAATGTAATTTCAACAATTTACATTATGTAGTATGGTACTGTAGAAAGGATTTGAAAACTATAATTGTTTATACAATACAGTATAGATATATACTTCATACTTTTCATGATAAAAGGTGTCACTTCTTTTCCAACTTAATACTGCCAGCTAGCCACATTTTATGGATGAGTTAGACTTGACTACGTGATTATATTTAGTTAGGAGTGAAATGGAGATAGGGTGACCTGTGCTGTTTTTCTTATGAGTTGCTGAATGGTGGACAGTTACCATTCAAAAGTTAATTTCTGCTTTTCTCAGATATGATCCTTCAGGACTGGGCAAGAGTGAAGGAATTAAAATGACAGAGACCACAATGTCCTTATGGCTTGAAGATGCTACAGAAATGCTTCTTAAAATGACAGATGGACCACAGATTGTACTTGCATCTTCAATGGGCTGCTGGGTAGGTTGCTCAAAAAGTTACTTTTCGTTAATAAAAGTAACATACTTTATACTTTGAAACGATTCTTCGCGGCAGGGGATCGTATTCCAGGGACCTGCCCGAAACGCTACGCGTACTAGTGGCTGTACAAGAATGTAACAACTCTTGCATATATCTCAAAAAAAAAAAAAAAAAAAAAAAAAAAAAAAAAAAAAAAATATACAATTGCTTTTATTTCAATTTACTGTAATTTTCTGTGGAGAGCCCCTTCGGTTCCCCCAGAGCTATACCGGGCTGATGTATATGTATTAGACCATGGCAACAATCAATCAATGGAATTCTATGCTTACCGGGGACCACGAGCCAGAACCTGCCCCCCCCCCCTCAGAGAGGCATGAGGAGCAATAGCCTATGAACACACCCATGTAGTTGGAAACAGTCTATGTCTGCCATTTACCAGGTCAAGCACCCAAAAAGGTAGGAATCCTAAAACAAACTACAGCTGGTGAAAAATTGCAAGTCGAAAGCTGAATGAGCAGGCAGAACTCCCAAAACAAAAAACAAGCAAACAAACATGACGTCACCACAGCCGCCACACTGCTGTCTGCGCAGCCCCCCCCTGCCCCCCCCCCCCCCAGGAGGGGGAAGGGGGAGTCCCAGACCTCCCGCACCGGCTACCCAACCCCTGTTCAGAGGCTGAATATCAAAAACGCAAAAAAAAAAAAAAACACCGGCCGACGAGAGGGAGGAATGCCGAGTAGCCTCTGGGTCTCGCCCAGAAAAAGGCATTTCATTATCGACACTGGTTTTCTGTGGAAAGCCACTTCGGCTTCCCGGAGCTACCTAACCAAAGATAAGGGAAAATAGGGACTTGCCTGTGAGGCGGCCGCCACTCGCTTCTCATCTCGGAGTCGAGACAACTGGCTGTAACCTGCGACCCAAGGCTATACAAGCCTGAGAAGGATCAGGAACATTAACGAGGTACTGTGCTGCCAGGGCCCTGTTCGACTTAATATATTAGTACAGTATATAAACTATTATATGAACACTAAACACCAGTACATATATATAGTTTGTAAACTTTTATTTCCTATAATTTCCTATAATTACAATACATAAAAAATTTGTTTAGCTGCCGACGGACATGATAAGGGAAGAGAGAGAGAGAAGGAAGCAGAAGCAGAGATGTCTGGAGACTGTACTGATATATCTGGTCTTTGTGAAGGAAATACAAGCAGGGCTACCAGTCTTTATGAACCTCTTCAGACCATCTGCTTTGAAATGTTTCAGTGAGTCATTGTATTCCTTTCACATAAAATGGCTCTGATCATTTTTTTGTTTTTAAATAGTAGCTCTGATCATTTTTTTGTTTTTAAATAGTAAAGACAGTGATAATTAAAAATGCATGTGTGCAGAATATCAGGGTAAGGATAAAGGGACTTGTGAACCAGCCTATACTTGAGAAAGGATGTAGGTTGCATCTGAAAATTTGGTTTTATTATACTTACACATATATATTTAGTCTTTCCTTTACCTTCAGTAAAATTGGATGGATTAATCACTATTCTTCTTTGATTTTCTTTTCAGATAACCTCCCTTATAGCCAAAAATCATCCAGATAAGTTTGCAGCTATTGTCATGTTAGCTCCGGCCTTTAACTTTGGTGAGAGGTATGAAAAGGTTCTTAGAGGACAACTCCCTCCCAATGCTCTGAAGAAATTTGAAGATGGCCAAATTGTGAAGCTCTTTGCTCCTGATTACGGTGAATTTCCATTGTCCAAGAAGGTATTTGAGGACATGAAGCAGTATAACGTAACCATGGACACGGACAATATTCCTATGCCCTGTCCAGTAAGGATTATCCACAGCGTCAAGGTTAGTGTTTGTGATTGAATACATTTAATACAGTATATATATTTCATATTAGAATATTACAGGTTTGGTATAGTGCATATCTAATTGTTGATAGCAAACTGGACAAGTAATATTGTAAGTTATTTAATACAGTATATAAATACAGTACAGTATTACAAAATAAAGATGATCATTATTATTATCAAACTATGAGAAAATAAATAAGGCTTGCATATACTGTAATGCCTTCTTATTCTTAGTGTGTTCTAGTATAGTACAGTATGTTGCTTTTATGTCTAAAGAATTAGGCTATTGGTTTTCATAGGAAGATGATCCATTGATCGGTTTACGAATCCAGCAATCCCAATTATTGCTGGACTGAGAGGAGCGAGCAATTAAGTATTGGTAGCCAGTTGTCCCTCCCTGATGCGACAATGTATGTGATGTATAATAATGGTCAGGTACTGTATAGTTAAAATGTTACTTGCCGAGTTACCTGCTATTGCACGGGTTTACCTGGAGTTTACCTGTAGAAGGTTCCAAGAGTTGTTCTACTTCACATGCCCAGCCTGCAGCAAGGCTTGACTTGTGATAACTTGGTTTAACAGGATGTAGCTTAGATCAGCCCACAGGCCCACATTTCTACTACAACCCGATTGGTCTGCACTTCTTACAGAAACTTCTCTAACTGCTTCTTGGAGTCTACTTTTGTTCCAGCAATATTTCTTATGCTTGCTGTAAGAGTATTGAGCAGCCACAGACCCCCTGATAGTCATACAGTGCTAACTGACTGTGTCTAATGGCACCTCTACTCTTCACTGGTTCTATTCTGCATTTCATTCTGTATCTTTGTGAAGCTCTGTGCTACACATTATCTCCATCATTGTATGATTTGAGCAGTGTCATAACTTGGCAAGTACTATGTCAGTTTGAATATCCTTGAAATGCTTAGGGAGTGAAATTCTGAGCAATAGATGCAGTATTTTGAAATGAGACTGGGTATTATTATTCAACTTTTTATGTAATTACCCGGCTGATATCCTTACTCCGTTCTGAGCTGCCTAGAATGCAACAGTTTGTAATTGTTAATCACACTGGTAGACATTGACTGTAGTAATCACTGTACACCAGGAATGATTATAAAATGGGTGCCGGTTAATGTCGGAACACAATTGTTTGTCACAATTGACATACAGTACTGCAATGGAAACTTTATTATAAAGATAGAGAGGTCTATTCATTATAATTTTGTTTTCTTTTATGTTAATAAATAATTATAATTGATACCTAAGTGGATTGTCTTCACTCCAAATTAATTTTTGTCTTTGCAGGACAAAGATGTTCCACATTTGGAATCTCTTCCACTTCTTAAAGCTTTACAGACCACTGATGTAGAGTTGAACTACCTCAAGTACGGGGGTCACACCCTGAGTGATAGTGCCTGCTTAAAAGTCATGTTTGATACTGTTCTCAACCTAGTGTCCAGTGCCAATTAAATGGGAAACTATTCTTGAAACAAGATTGACAGCAGTACAGTCATGTAAGATCTTACTTATAATAGTAAATAGAACTGAGGTAAGTGGGAACTGCCAGTGAGTTCAAAGGTTTAATGTGGTTGAGGTCTAACGAGAGAAAGAAGTGAAGGGATAAGGGATAATGTGTGATAAGTGAGAGGTTCCCTAGTGGTGGGAATATGTAAAGGTTGTGTTGAGAAGTGTTGTTGCCTAACCGTGCTGTGGATGAGGTGTGCCTAACAGCTCGAATTCATAAATGTTTTACCCTGATTTTTTAGCGCTGTTTCAGGTGTTGAAAAATAAATGCTCAAGCAAAGTGGTTGCAACTGGAAAAGTTGCAGAAAGTTGCTGCTATATAAAATATAGAAAACAAATGGTATAACAATAAAAAACTGTCAGAATATTAATATTTAAGTGAGATAACGAGGTTAATTAAATTAGCAGAGTTCTGAAATTAGCTGTCACACTCAAGTCATGATAATATCTGACAGCAGTTGATAATTAAAATGTAATCAAAACGTCATAATTTAGCTGGATTACCATATAACAACTGCCAAGATGGTCGCTTGTTTGACCAAAAATGATCAAATATATGGAAAGTGAGTGACAAATCTCAAAATAAGTAGTTGCTCATAGTAACTTAATATTGTAAATTCAAGCAAATAATTTATCAGTTAATTTGCTGAAAAGTTAGTTTCTCGTGACAATATGCTAATTTTCCTATCATTAACTTTGGATGAAGGCAAATCTCTCTTAAAATTGATTTCTTTCAATCGTTTAAAGTTATAGACAGAATATTCCAAGTAGGCACAGTATTCAAGAGTGGCATTGGTGCGACGTTGAATCATCATTATTAATGTTGATGACATTGATTGAGAGCTGAATTGGCATTGCTCGTGGATATTGTGTCTATTGGTAACACCAGACATTAATAAGAACATACAGTAAGAATGAAGGTACCTACAGAAGGCCTATTGGCCCATATGAGGCAGCTCCTATACACAGTATAACCACCCATAATTAAAGTATGGTACCACCATTTGCAAAGAAATGAGGTGGTGTTCTGTGCAATTGTATGAAGCAAGTGGAGACTTCCAATATATAATAATCAATAATCTATAATATACATTAATTTATACCATCACACCACATGGTGTAATGATGTACAATTATTGTCCTACAACTTATTATTGTATTCCTACAACTAAAGAAAATCGGAAATAATATAGTTTTACCCAAGAGCCAAGAATGTTGTTCTACAAATAATATAGACTTTAATTTACTTACAAATTTTCAGAATCGGTTAAAAAAGTCCTGTTGTTAGTAATATAACTTAATATTCATGGTGCATTCACTTATTTGAATCAAATAATTGCCTCTTAAATAACCCATTGGTAAAGTAAGCAAAATAATCTTTGAAATATATTATGAAAGTAAGATTTGCCTAAAGGATCACGGCTTGTGCACTTAAAATAATGGTGTCATAATGTTGTAGAAAATTTTTTCCGGAAGGGTTTATGACTTTTTTAATAAACAGTTTAGAATGTACTTAAAAAAGACGAAATAAAACTTTGTGGTACTCTTAAGTATGATTCTCTGCCCGAAATGCTGTGTGTGTTAGTGGCTTTACAAAAATGTAAAAGCAATAATGCTTTGTACTCTCATAACCCCAATGTACCTTCTTATATATAAATAAATATAAATAAATAAATAAATAAATGATTTGATTTGATAGTTGTCACCAGCTAGTTATTGTGCACTAAACATTCATACTGTGGGCAGTACTGTGCAAAACGTTTACAGTGGGGAAAAAGGTTTTCATCAGATCCTAGTGGATGTTCTCACAGAATTATAATGATTTCTTATAATTATAATAATTGCTGGTAAAAAAAAAATCACTGCTTGCACTACAACTGCTTTGTATAACAATAACATTACACTTTTGAACCAAGTCATTTAGGTACTACAGCACTTTATATACATGCCTTTCACTTCTCCAGTTTTTCAATTTGCAGCACTCAAAAGAGATGCTCAATTAAATCACATTTGTTGCAAATAAAGCAAAGATTGTGACCCAAGTGACAAAAAGAGCAACAAGCAACCCCTTACACACCACATTAATGACCATCACCTTCCTTGGGGTGAGGTTTAACGTGCCATGAGTGGAATTGTCTTCACCTTCCCTGGGCCGGTACACAGGAGTGTGATGCAGGCAGCCAACAACCATGTTGACCATGACCACAGTGAAGCAGAGGCCAATCATAATAGCATACCAGATGTCGATCAGCTTGTAGTAGGGTGTTTTAACGTAAGAACCGGATGCCTGAGCAAAGAGTGCAGCCAAAACGAGGAGGGCTGTGAGGGAGACCATGATCCTGTCGCTAGTAGAGGCCAGTGGGAAAAAGAGGGTGGCGTATGAGATGATAAACATAAGAGCACTCGGTGAGAAACTATTCAGAATGTGGTAGTCACACTGACTCTTTAAATGCAGGGTCAGCATGGCATAGGTACCCGTTTTCTCAAATGTTGTCTTGAGCAGTTGGTAATCTAAGAGATTTGTGTTTCCATCATATTTAATCTCGCCAGATTCAATCAGTGGTTTTAGTTCCTTATCCGTGTCAAATGATTTCAAATAAAAGGTGGCATTACACTGATGGAATCCAAAGGGGTAACGGTGAAGTTCAAAGTTACATGGAAGTTCCAGAAGTAGGTGCATATACATGGTCAAGTTGTCATCTTTACCATGAACAAATCTGCCTGGAAAAGAACAAAAAAAAAATTATATATATATATATATATATATATATATATATATATATATATATATATATATATATATATATATATATATATATATATAATATATATATATATATATATATATATAAATAATATACCAGTATATGCAATGCAATAAAAGAAGAAGACCCAGAATTCTTTGGGTGGAATAATGCATATACTGTATAGTACTTAATGTATACTGTACAGTATTAATATAAAACTACAAATATTTTAAGTACTTAAATTCTTTTGTTTTTGCTGGGATGTCTCATAATATTTGTTTAATTAACTTTTAGCTTGTGTGTTATGATATATTGCAAATTTAAGATGGGTCATGCTACATGTGAGGAAATGTTCATCTCTACTCACCCATGTATGGGTCATCCATGGCATAATGACGGTGGTTCGATGAGGGAGCCACAATGCATTCTGAAGTGTACACCTGAAAGTTAATTTCTTCTCCGGTACTCATATATCCTGCACGGATGCCTAGCTTGGGGTGCCATATCTCATTGCAATTGAAGATCGTAAAATCCGCATACCCGATGTCCCTTAATTGAAGTCGAGAATCGGCCCATTGAAGGACACCTTGTATGTCAATTTTTGCTACTCCAGTTTTAGTAGTGATTTCCTTAATGTTCTTTATGTGAAATGCATAATATACATTAATCATTGCATTATCTTTGTGACTTGGAGGCAGAATAGATTCATAACTAGGGCCTTTCTCGACTGTCCTTTCGAGGCATTTCTCTTCATCACTACCATCTGCAAACTCCACCAAGCTATTACATCGCTGATTTCTGGGGAGACAGTAGCCTTCGTCAGAGGAGAACTGTGACATGGTGCATGATGTGAGTGTCAGGAGAGAGTGGCTGTTGCCAGAGTGCCAGCTGTGTCGCCCCACTACCTGAAAACCTTCAGTTAGTTGCCAATAGTGACGATGCAGATGTGAACTTAGCACCCATGAATTTCCTTTTAAGGATATTAAAGAAGAAGAATATAATCCCTCAAAGTGAAAATTTCCATCAGGTAGACTCCTCAAGAAGTAGAACCTATCAAAATCATAGATGGCACCATAAAGTGTAAAACGCATCCACTTTGAAACTCGACAAAGACTACATTCCAGCTCTCCGATGCAAAAATGGGAGCCAATGGTCCCATTGATAAGCAAGACTGGGCACTGAGCATTTAAAGGGCTATCTTCCTGGAGGTCGTGGTCAAGCCAAGATACACGTGTAATGCTGCCTTTGATGCATTTCTTGGGTGCACTGGCTGCCTTTTTGACCAGGACAGGTGTTGTCGCTTCTTTTTTTACAAGATGCCCTCCAAACACAGTGCATGTTTTCAAGTGGTCTGCATAACTACCAGGCTCTGTTATCCACAGGTTTTGAATGGCATTAGAGCACAATTCTTCCCGTTTGTACTCGGTCCTCCAGAGCCCAGCCTCACCAATCCAAGTGCCATCAACAGCGGGAGAAACAATGCTAGCCAGCACCACGGCATTGCACGTTGCAATGCCGTGGTCTTGCATGTCTGGCATGCCCTCTTGCATGGACACTGCCGCTACGTAGCCTTGTAAACATCCTCTCGTGGAGCATTTGGGGGCCCTGATGCACACCGCAGATATTTTACTAGTGGTCTTTAACTTTTGAGTCCGAGATACATTTAGGAACCTTCCTTGTAAAGCAGCCCATGCCTGGAAAATTTTAACACATTTTACATATACAGTATCTTATATATTTGAAGGAGAGGTATAGAAAATTTGCATTTAAAATTTGCAATAACATTAAAATCACACACAAAAAAATTATTTTGAATAAAGAAATGCATGTTGATGTTATATATTACTTTGTGTTAGTCATTTCTTAATTTGGTTCAAGAACTAAAACAGAATGTAGACTGGTGTATACAATACTGTAGATTGCAAAAAAAAGATAAAATATCCAAGTTGTGAAATAAAAATGTTGCACACATAAGGCTTCGGAAAGCCTTATATCATATATCTAGCACATATCTTTCATCCGTAGCAAAAAAACTGTGTGAGAAGTTCTATAGCATAATTGATGACTTGCCTCATTCTGATCGGTGTCGTAACCAAAACAAACGGGATTCCAGTTATCTTTGACAAGGTTGCCTTTGAACAGAACATGTTTGTGTGGCATCTCTATGGTCAGCTTAAGCCTCATCACCTCTGTGTATAATGATAACATTAGAAAAAATGTATATATTTGGCATATTACATTATCAGTGTCGCCTTGTCAGTCCAGCCAACTAGAGATGAACTTGATATTCCTAAAAGATTATCTATTAATTCTAAAATATTTGGGTGATTAAGTCTCTTAAGAAAAGAATATCTTTCAGAATAAAACATTTAGAAAGCAGCTGCTCTCTCAGCTTATAAATTTAATTTATAGCTTGACTTTATTTTAATCCATGTACAGTATATTCATATATTAAGTAATCATTATTTTCAGAGTGTATTTGTGATATATGCCATAATGGTGACCAGAGGGTTCTGCTGTTCTCCTCCAAGTGACAGACAGTAATTAACCTCATACAGTGATAAGATCACAGAATGGTATAGATGTGTGCAAAGTGGTCCTCGAGACGCATGCACGACAACATCAAAGGATCTCAACTCGATCAATCCAGCAAAAGCAATTAGATATACAGTACTGTATATGAATTAGGTATCGTTAATACATCTGCATTTAACAAAAAGTATTTTTATAAATGATTTATTTTCAATAGATTGTAATTAATCCAAACAACTTCTTTAAAAAGGTTGAATACCTACTGCTAAAACTGTTTTTCAGAAAATCTCTGGACCAAGGGATAGTGCCCATAGATTGGAAATATACAACTGTCACCTCCTGTTTTGAAAAAAAAAGCAGAAAGAGTCCAGTGGAAAAAGACGGTCCGATCAGCTTGACATCGCGCATCTGCAAGCTCATGGAGAGAATCTTAAAGGAAATCATTCATCTCGTAATGGACAATCTTGTAAAATCAATACAACCTAGCTTTGTTAAAAATAAATCCTACTTTACAACCCTGCTCAGATTTTTGGAAACAGTAACCAGCTACTCAAAGGATTTCCAGTGGATGTAGTATACATGATTCTCCAGGATAACTTGAACAGGTTGCAAGGATGATCCAAGAAATAGCTGCTAGAGTTCAACACTAACAAGTGCAAGGTGATAGAAATGGGGACAGGAGCCAGGAGACCGAAAGGCCAATATACAATGAGGGAAAACTACCTCCCTATAACGTCTAGAGAAAAAGATCTTGAAATGGACATAACACCAAACCTAACTCCAGAGGCTCATATAAATAGAATAACGTCAGCTGCATACTCTACTCTGGTAAAAGTCAGACCATCCTTCAGAAACTTGAATAAGGAGCCTTTTACATCATTGTATACCACCTATGTGAGATCAGTCTTAGGGTATGCTGCTCACATTGCGGAGCCCCCCATCTTAAAAAAAATAAGGAAACTCGAAAAGGTGCAGAAGTTTGCAGCAAGACTCATCCCAGAGCTGCGAGGGATGATGTATGAAGACAGACTGAAGGACCTAAATCTGACGACGTTAGAAAAGAGGAGGGAGAGGGGGGGACATGATAGAGACGTATAAAATACTTAGAGGTATGGACAAGGTGGAAACAGGAAATGTTTACAATTAATAACAATAGAACAAAGGGGCACGGATGGAAGCTTGTGACTCAGATGTGTCAGAGATGTTAGAAAGTTATATTTTAGCGTAAGGGTAGTGAGTAAATGGAATGACCTAAAGGCGCAGATTGTAGAGGTTAACTCCATTCATAACTTTAAAAGCAGGTATGATAGAGAAATATGCCAGGAGTCATTGCATTAGACAATCAATGGCTAGGAAAGTGGGGGCCCAAGAGCTAGAGCTGGATCCTGGACGCAAAAATAGGCGCACGTACAAACAAAATGTGATTATGGAAATGAAATATAATCATTCACTGTAACTGACTGCCTCCAAAGAGACACTTCTTATAAATAAGCAAATCTCATTACTAAAAAAATTACTTTTTTTGTCATTCCTTACTTGCTATAATAGTAATGTTATTAGTACTGTAATAGAAGAATTTGCCATTGGAATCTTCGGTCAGTGGACGCACTAAAGCACAGATGGTGAAATTGTAGGAGGCAGGAGAGCCAAAGGTCAAGTTAGAGAGTTGGCTTTCTGGAGCACACAGTCGAGACCCAGATGTATCAAACAGCGCCCCGGGTACTATGTCGTTTCTTCCTCCTGTCATGAGATAAAATTGAATGTAGTTTTAATTATGGTAATTTTTATAGTAACAAGTGGGTATAGCTTAATTGCTAAACTACTGTATTTTGATATTTAGACTTGATAAGCAATCATCATGAATATTATAAATTAATGTATCAGTTAATAGTCGACATGGCAACTATACAGAAAACATTAATTTCATACTTGATTTAATAAAAACCTCAAGGGGAAAGCTTCCTGTAGACAATGATATTTCTTAAAAGATTAAATGTAACACATGCATAAAGCAACAACTTAAAGCTCAACACACCACAGTGCAGGACAGAATGCAGATACTTGTCACTCGTAGGGTTATAAACCCATGGAACTGCCTACTACCTGCCAAAGCTGTAAATGCCAACACATTTACAACAACAACTTCAGGTTAAAATCCAGTTGAAAAAACTTTTTTCTGCAACAATGAGAACACCTTTGACAAGCCACCAGCTTCCTGTCCCTGTCTAGGCCATCTCTCGTGGCCATCAGGTAAATATATAAAATAGAACGCCTGTCTAGCCAAGGTTTGAAGCCAGACACTTAGGGCTAGTCTCATGCAACTTTCCAAGATGAATCATAGGGGGGGGTATATAAATTATATATATACAGTATGACAATGTGATACAATACAGTGTGTGTATATATGTATATATAATCTCTCATTACTATGTGATCTTTACTGCAGTAAAGATCTAATCTTTATTGCACATCAAAAGATTAAGTCAAGGGAAGAGGGGGATGAAATATTTGTTTGGCCGGGCGACAAGCAGCCAGTGTTGGGCTAACATCGAGGTCATCCCCCAAAGTGGAACTACTGACCCTTCCCAGGATGCAACTCCACAACAGTTAATTAATTCCTGGGTACCTATTGCTAGGTGAACAGGGGTATTAGGTGAAAGGAAGCGTGCCTAACCTGTCCCCGACAATGGAAATCATTTTGACCAATTGCCACAAGTGTTGTCCATGGGACCTTGCGGCTGAGTAGGCAGCGCTCAGGGGGTCGTAGTCCTATGGGCCCGGGTTCGATTACTTAATGCAGAAACAAATGGGCAGAATTTCTTTCACCTGATGGGCGTGTTCACCTTAAAGTATGTAACGTACGATTATGTTACGTTGTTGGGTAGATTAGATACACCGTATTTAGCGGGTTTTCATATTTATTTAGTAGTCTTGGATACATCAGTGTCGTAGGCACTGAGACGGAGCTTGGAGCAGAGCACAGAGCTGAGTGAGGCCGGAGTCGCAGAGCTCTATGTGGGAGAGTGTAGTGGCTCGATAGGGAATCTTTTAAGTGTCTAAACTTGATGGGGCTTGAGAGAGCGTTATAGCTCGATACGGTCGTAGTCTGCTGTCTGCTCTAAGTCGAAGCTGTAGTGTCTTGGTGTCCATTAGAACTGTTCACGTCGAGTGCTACATTCTTGAGGATAAAGAGGTGAAGTAAATCCAAAGCGTCTGTACTGGAGTTATCTGAATCACTGTGGAAATTGTACTGTTGGCTATTCGTTGTTATAGATTCAGCTACTCGGAACAAGTTCCAAGTAGCACGGGCTATGGTGAGCTCGTAATTTACCTGGCACAGGAGCGGGGCAAGTAGCACGGGCTATGGTGAGCCCGTAGCGGACTTACCTGGCACTGGAGTGGTGCCCTGCTAGCGGAGCGCTAGCTGGTTGGCTATTCGCAATTCGCTCGCTTATATTTCGTGACTACAGCTCAGCTTTCTCCATCAGGATGGAAAGAATGTTACTTGTAAATAAGGATAGGATTATAGCTTGTGTAATTAGTGCTAATTAGTTATGCCATTAAGCTAATGAGAATCTGTAGTGAGTATAATGTTTGTACTCGCTACAAGTAAATAGGTATTTGGGAGTTACATAGCTGCTACGGGCTGCTTTCCTGGGAATGTGTGCGTGTTAGAGAAATGTATGTAGTAGACAATAGAGGAAAAAATAGATCGGTTATAAAAGGTGGGGTCCAAGAGCTATAATAATTCGATTCTGCAGGCACAAATAGTAAATACAATGTTTCAGTATTATTTACATAGGTACCCTCCACACTCTGGTACTCATTTTCTATAGATACTAACAAAATTTATAGGTTCTTAATTCTCTAAGTAATTATCAAAAGCACTAACATTTAAAAACAAACCTGGTATAGCCTCGAGAGAGTGAAGGAGCAGTAACACTAGCAGCAGGGACAGAGTATTAAGGAACCTGAGGGGTTCCTTGCGCCGCCCACCACCCACGACGGTAGGTACGCCCATCTCTCTCTACCACACCGGCGTCCTCACCCGTACCAATACAATTTTCATAAGATGGAGACAGTCACCAGTTATTGCATTATAATATGCAATCACATTATAAGACTTGATTCACTTTTTATATCGTGTTGCTAAAGCCGCCGCCACCTGCCGGCAGTGTGAGCCAACATAACGCCAAGAGGAACTGGAGGAGTGTGCTGGACGCCTGTTGCTCCATATAGCAGTCTCAAGACTAAATGAACGGCTATGTGTGTTCGACATCCCACGTCTAATTGTAAGATCCTTCTTGATAACATTTTCCTTGATAGTTATGTACGATATGATATCCTCGTTATGTACACGAGTGCAGGTGAAGCTTGTAATTACTATAAACGCTTCACTTGCCCACGGTGTATTTAGTCTGCGTTTGCGTGCTATCTTAACTGTGTAATTAAGTGGTCGTTCCGTGAATGTTGCATAAGGCAGCGTCGTAACATTGTTAATTTACCTGAAGGCCACTAGTCCTAGTGGCCTCGACGAGGACAGGAAGTACAGTGGCTTGTCAAAGGTCCTCTCAATTGTCCTGATCTTTTCCAGTTGGATCTTAATGTTTAACAGCATTTAGGCATTTACGGCTTCGGCAGGTAAGCGGTTCCATAGATTTATAACTGGGTGAAAAAGCATCGCCTGTTCTCAGTCCTACATTGTGGCTTGTTGAACTTGCAACCGTTGCTCCTTGTTCGTGTTACATCTGACCTTTTGAAGAACATTTCCGGATCAACATTCTCCAAATTGTTCAGTATTTTAAAAGTTTCAATGAGATCTGCCCTGTCATGCCTGGTTTGTAGTGTTGTTAGCCCTGTGGCCCCTCAACCATTCCTGATACGTGAGTTGACTTAGCTCTGGGATTATATTTGTTGCCCGGTGTTGCACTTTTTCTACTGCAAATGAGGTTTCCATGCAGTAATACAAATGAGGCTAATTAAGCTCTTTCACCTTGGGTAATCTCTTAAGTGCAGTTAATTTGCAAGGATTATTGAAGGAGTTATATTGAAGATACCCCTGCGTACCCCTCCACCCCCTTCCTTCCCTCTGACCATCAAAACCATAACTACCACCAGGGTGCTACTCTTCCAAATCATCAGAAAGTTTTCTTTTATAAGAAAACGTGAATGCTGGACGTTTCAAAGATTCAAAAGCCACAGGTGTGGACGGAATTCAATGCAAAATTATTACGACTCTAGCAGCGGAACTTTGTCTACCACAGAAACCTCTTTTCAGACAATCTGTGGCCCATGGGAAGAGCTAAGCAGAAAACTACTGTTCGATCAGCTTGATCTTCAATATCTGCAATTTCCTAGAGAGAATTCTAAGGGAGGGAATCATTCACTATCTTTCGGTAAACAATCTAATCAGATTAACGCAACATGGTTTTGTTAATAAAAAAATCCTGCCTTACAAACCTAATGACATTTTTGAAAATGGTAGCCGATAATAGACTTCAAATAGATGTAGTATATATATGGATATCGCTAAACCTTTAGACAAGATACCACATGAAAGACTAGCAAGGAAATTACAAGCACGTGGAATAAATGGTAAAATAATAGAATGGATAAAATGGTCAAAAGACTGGCAGATGCAGCTTTATGCTTGTTACGGCCAGCTTGACCAGAAACCGGGTTCTGTTAACGTGTCTTATAACCTCTTCGTGATCCGACTCCAAGTCGGGGGTAAATTTTCAACGGTGATCGTGACAGCGGCAAAAGTCACGCTCAGGAGTCAAATTTCGGACATTTACGATATTTTGAAAACTGCAGGGGGGTTTGGGCAAAATATGACCCATTACCGTTTTCAGTAATTGGCATATTTTCGGTGTAAAAAGTAGTAATTTGAAAATGAAAATATGTGCAGAGAGTCAGAATTCGGCTCAAAAATCACGCTCAGGAGTCAAATTTCCGACATTTCAAATATTTTGAAAACTCAGGGGTTTGGGGAAAATATGACCCGTCGCCGTTTTCAGTAATTGGCATATTTTCGGTGTAAAAAGTAGTAATTTGAAAATAAAAATAGGTGCAGAGAGTCAGAATTCGGCTCAAAAATCACGCTCAGGAGTCAAATTTCCGATATTTCAGATATTTTGAAAACTGCAGGGGGGTTTGGGCAAAATATGACCCATTGTCGTTTTCAGTAATTGGCATATTTTCGGTGTAAAAAGTAGTATTTTGAAACTGAAAATAGGTGCAGAGAGTCAGAATTCGGCTCAAAAATCACGCTCAGGAGTCAAATTTCGGACATTTACGATATTTTGAAAACTGCAGGGGGGTTTGGGCAAAATATGACCCTTCGCCGTTTTCAGTAATTGGGATATTTTCGGTATAAAAAGTCTTAATTTGAAAATGAAAATAGGTGCAGAGAGTCAGAATTCGGCTCAAAAATCACGCTCAGGAGTCAAATTTCCGAAATTTCATAAATTTTGAAAACTGCAGGGGGGTTTGGGCAAAATATGACCCATCGCCGTTTTCAGTAATTGGCATATTTTCGGTATAAAAAGTCTTAATTTGAAAATGAAAATAGGTGCAGAGAGTCAGAATTTGGCTCAAAAATCACGCTCAGGAGTCAAATTTCGGACATTTACGATATTTTGAAAACTGCAGGGGGGTTTGGGCAAAATATGACCCTTCGTAGTTTTCAGTAATTGGCATATTTTCGGTATAAAAAGTCGTAATTTGAAAATGAAAATAGGTGCAGAGAGTCAGAATTCGGCTCAAAAATCACGCTCAGGAGTCAAATTTCCGAAATTTCATAAATTTTGAAAACTGCAGGGGGGTTTCGGCAAAATATGACCCATCGCCGTTTTCAGTAATTGGCATATTTTCGGTATAAAAAGTCTTAATTTGAAAATGAAAATAGATGCAGAGAGTCAAAATCACGCTCAGGAGTCAAATTTCGGACATTTCAGATATTTTGAAAACTGCAGGGGGGGTTGGGCAAAATATGACCCATCGCCGTTTTCAGTAATTGGCATATTTTCAGTATAAAAATTCGTAATTTGAAAATGAAAATAGGTGCAGAGAGTCAGAATTCGGCTCAAAAATCACGCTCAGGAGTCAAATTTCCGACATTTCAGATATTTTGAAAACTGCAGAGGGGTTTGGGCAAAATATGACCCATCGCCGTTTTCAGTAATTGGCATATTTTCGGTATAAAAAGTCTTAATTTGAAAATGAAAATAGATGCAGAGAGTCAGAATTTGGCTCAAAAATCATACTCAGGAGTCAAATTTCGGACATTTACGATATTTTGAAAACTGCAGGGGGGTTTGGGCAAAATATGACCCTTCGCTGTTTTCAGTAATTGGCATATTTTCGGTATAAAAATTCGTAATTTGAAAGTGAAAATATGTGCAGAGAGTCAGAATTCGGCTCAAAAATCACGCTCAGGAGTCAAATTTCCGACATTTCAGATATTTTGAAAATTGCAGGGGGGTTTGGGCAAAATATGACCCATCGCCAATTTCAGTAATTGGCATATTTTCGGTGTAAAAAATCGTAATTTGAAAGTGAAAATATGTGCTGAGAGTCAGAACAGTGTTGAACAAATTGGGGGGACCTTTGATTTTCCGCCGGCATCCTATCCTCGTCGAGGTCATCGTCGATAGTTGCACTCGTGTAATTTCAGGTAAATGTATTAGTTTTTGTTAAGTTCTAGCTAACGGGTTGATATGGGCGTAATTTGTCGTCACATTAACATTCTGCTACAGTATTTTATGCAGGAATTTCGAGGATAAAATAAACGAAAGTAGTTATAATTATCTCCAATTTTTATTGTATCCCATCTTTAGTTAGTTTAGTTTCTTTATTATGCACCCTATACCCGTTCTGTGGGGCGGTTAATAAATTCAATCAACCCTAACCACGCCATGAGCCTCACTCTCAATCCACAATTTTGACCCATTTTTCGTTGTTTTTTAAAACAATGAAAACTAAACTCCCAATCTCAATTATAAAAGAAAGCTGAACGCTGTACCATAAGCTTGTATTAATAAATATTTCCAGCACGACGGTCATGTAATAATCATATTTTATTATGTAAATATTGAGTAAGCTGTCAACCCAGCTGGGTGGCCGCCTTGGCCCAGCTGATTTGATCAACACAGTCCAGCTGAGGAGCCGGTGGGACGTGGGCTCCTGTAGTGCTGATCTTCTTAGTTTATTTTCCACATTTCCAGCGTCTTGATGTGAGTTTCTCTCTTAATAGCTAGTTCTAAGATGCCCTTAGTATAACTTGATGTTTAACTGATGAATGAGTTATTTGTTTAAGGTCCTTTTCCTTTCTTTCAAGGCCAGCTGGATTAGGAGGGATTATTTGTTTGCTTATCTAATTTAAGGAATTCCTAAGGGAAGGGAATTATTAGGGAAACGCGTCAAGCCATGACGACTATATAGCACTCGGAAGGGATCAGGATAAGGATTAGAAATGGGACGGGAGGGACAGGAATGGTGCCCAACCACTTGTGGACGGTCGGGGGATTGAACGCCGACCTGCAGGAAGCGAGACCGTCGCTCTACCGTCCAGCCCAAGTGGTTGGGGATATATATATCTCGTCCAACAGTGCTGACTGCCAGCATCTAGATAGTGTTGTTTTCACTATTGTATATTTTGATCATGACAGTTGATTTGTGTGGGGATTTCATTCTTTTCTGCCTTATTATTGACCATGGTTGTTTAATTATTGCTTTCAGGTGTGTATGAGGTTTTAAGAATATGTGCAATAAAAACTGTATTAGTCATTACTATTGTTAAAAATGATCATTGCTGCTTCTTATTGTTCATTTAATATTGTATTAGTATTTAATACAGTAGTTATCATTGCTAATGTTAACTATACATCTGGCAAAGACTAGCTATGTTGCACATCTGGTAAATTATCTATGAATATCTATAGATAGGATTTGTCGAAAGTAGGCCAGATGCTTAGGGCTAGCCTCACCCAACGTTTCAAGGTGACACATTGGGTGTATGGGAGTGTCATAGGCATGAAGCCTGACATTGAGGATATGTTATCTATAGGGTTTTTTATTTATTTTTCAGAGCTTTGTAATATTAACATTTCTGAGGAGGATGGGGAGGGGAGAAGAGGGAGAAGGAGAGGGGGATATGGGGGGAGAGACCTGGGCACAGTCAGGTACTCTTATCTAGTGTGTGCATGTGTAATTACTATAGTAATTACATAAGTAATTATCGAAGTATAGTGACAAGATGAAAGCTATACTCATGGTATCCCAACTTCCCAGTACTTTTTTTTTTTTTTTTTTAAATGATGCTTTAAAATTACTGATGTGTGTTTATATGTACTGTACCAGTATGTATGTATTATGTATTTACAGTACAGGGTAACCCTCGTTTAATATTGCCCCAGTTAACGTCATTTCATTCTTATGACATTGGAAAACGATTTAACATCACAGGAAGTTCATTTTTTTATGATTCCCAACGTAGGATAGATAATAAGATGTGAAAGCCAGTGATACTTATAGAAAATAGTACAGTACTTATAGTACTGTACACTGCATGAGGACCAACTTAAATATTATCAATGAACACTTCAAAAAACAGAACCTTGTTTAATGAAAATAATAGCACAAAATACATTGCTGCTCGAAACAATTGTATAATACTGTACAATATGCAACCACATGGCTATATTAGTTATTTGTTGGCTGGTATTGAGAGTGACTGATACTAGGTGTTTAACCCCTGCACTGCGCACCTGTTTTTGGCAAATACTTTTTAGTGCAATTGTTAAGGACATATTTTTGTTGTTTTTATAAGTGTTAAGGTAAAGTTAATGTCAAAATGTTTCCAAACTCAACTATTTTCATTTCAAAACAGTGATGAAAACATTAAAATATAACCTAATTAAAAAAAAAATAGTAAAACTTTCAGAGATTTCTCGGTTGGCACAGCACATTGGTTAATGCCAAGCTTTGTTGGCTAGCTTTATAAACAGATGTGATCTAATTTATCATTTTAAATTTTTCAGATTGTACAGCAGTCATGGCTGGCGAGTTAGTAAGTGTGGAACAGTGCCTGGACAGCCACATTCCTGAGCAGGAGCTGAAAGAGGTCAAGAGGATTCTGTATGGATGCGAACACCCGTAAGACAGAAGAGAAATTAAGCACGTTTTGGTTTGAAATGTTTTGTTATAATATTCAAGGAATAAAAGCCATTTTTTTTTTTTTTTTCTTACCAGACATGACATTTTTTCAGTGAAATCTCACTATAAAATAATTTAGAAAGTGATTGTATTATTTAGAGATAAATAAGTAAATTTATTTTGACTAAATCTGGATTGAATTTTTTTTTTAACATTCACTTGAACTTTACAGGAACGTTCAGCATTTTATCAAAGTCTTTACTACATAAACATTTAACTGGTATTTTTTCTTTAATTCAGTAATTTGTCATAAATGCTCACAATGTGTATTTATTATATTTTTGTAAAGCCGCTAGCACACGTAGCATTTCAGGCAGGTCCTCAATCCTAATTTTCTCCGGAATTAGACCCACCAAATCTTTTAACAACCAGTTACTCATTCACTGTTGGGTGAACAGGAGTACAGTTAAGGGTTGGCACCCAGTCAATCCTCCCTGGCCAGGATACAAACCCAGGCCAAAGTGCTGGTAAAGCGCCGGGTGAGTGCTGTATCATTGCGCCATGGGGACGGTTTATTATTTCGGAAAGAAATTTGAGTGCAGTACCACTTCAGATTATTGATTTACTGAAAAATCAATGATCATTGAGTTGGAAAATGACCTTTGAAGACGGATTAAGTTGCAGAGGCCACATACTTTTCTACAAGACACCATTGTGTGTTAAGACAGGTGGCATAAATATAGGGAAAGGCAATCCAGAAAACTTTGAAGCATATAATAGATGATTTTTCATCTGTAGAAATAAGTAATAAAGTATAAGCTGTATAATTCTTGGTTAAGTTAATATACAACTCATATACCTGAAAAAGTACAAGATGGGTGGACTAATATGTATTTGGAAATTTCAGCCCCCTTACAATCCCAGAGAATGCTGACAAATTATCAAAGAAGCACAACTTTGAAATTAAAGGCTACCGGATCTCTGCGGCTCCAGAAGAGCTAACACAACCCAGGTAAGCATGATTTTGATTTAACTTCTATGGCAATATCTTTAGTTGAGAGAGGTCTTGGTCGTACAGTTGGGCTCGTTCTCACCTCAGATGGGAATCTTCGGCAGTACAGAAATGGTTTGGCATGTTTCCTATCACCTAATACCTCTGCTCACCTAACAGTAAATAGGTACCCAGGAGGGGGTTGTATCCTGGGGGAGGGTTTGATGTTCAACTTTAGTGGGGCCTAAATATATACAAGCTTAAAGTACAAACAGTATACCTTAGCCTGTGTATATGTATGCACAGGCTGCCTGTCCTGAATAAAATGATTTATCCAATGTACAAGTTTGAGCATCCTTGAATCTACTGCATTTATTAACTGGAAGAAACCACTAAACTGAACACATATTGAGTTAAGTATACAGTAGTAACAAAAATTTAATGCAAGAAGCACAGTAGAGCCTCAAAGAGAGTAATGGAGCAGTATAAGGAGTGGCTAGTTTAATATAAATATAAAAGTACTGTACACCAGGGTTGAATCTGGATGGGCTTCTGGGAGCTGCTCTTCTTCCCAAGCCTGGCCTCAGAGCCAGTGTCTTGTGGGAAATATGAGGTAAGGTTCTCATGTCCAAAATGTGAGGTAAAGTTCTTGCGAGGTTCTCATGTCCATACGATTGTTCAATATATGTGTGTATGTAGTTCACTATACTGTGTAGTGTGGAAGATTTGAATGTGTTTAAAGTCTTTTGGGATATCTATTTAACTATTTATTTTTTTCTGGGCTAAAGTATCCCCACCCTGTGGAAATAGCGAGTGTGAATGTAGAGGTGATGACAAGTTTGAACATGTAAGTTATTAAACTTTTACTAAATTAAACTTTGTATGATTTGTAGAATAAATTGTATTGCTGTATACGTGTATATTATACAGTAATTCATTATGCTAAGGTTTGTATCAGCACTACAATTAAAACTTAGTTCTTCTGATTGTTTCGTAAATTCCTCTTCCTCTTTTCTAGAATTGTACGTGTAGGTGTGATTCAGAATTCCATTGTTGCCGAGACGTCGGCTCCAGTTTCTGCTCAGCGTGCTGCTCTCCATCAGAAAATTACTCGCATGACTGAAGCTGCAGCACACTGTGGAGTTAATGTTCTATGTTATCAGGAAGCTTGGAGTGAGTCTGTGTATAACATTTTTATGAAAAAGACGTATTAATTGTCTTAAGACTTAAACTAGTGCGGTACAGACATTTCTCCAAACTGCATATGAGCAATATTTCTGAAAAATCTTGTCTTGTGATGTTACCTTTACATTTCAGAAACCTCCAAAAGTCAAATTTTTCCCCATGTCTGTAAAAATTTAAAAAAAAATTTAATGTTCTGTATATTAAATACTGTACATAGTATTACATACTGTTTTAACTTAAACTCCAGTTATAGAGATTCTTTGCCTAAAGGGATTAATTGAAGACTTCTTGGTGGTTGTGGTGGTTGTTACTCACTAACCAACTTTCACACCCAAAGATTCTTCTGAGTTAATGCTTAAAAAGATGATGGGGACTGTCTGGACAGTTTGATGTGCCAGCTTCTGTTTGTATTGCTTAGCTTAATTTGCTTGAGGAACTTAGACATGTTGTTTAGGGTCATCTTTGCTTGTACTGAGATTCTGGTGTTAGCTTGCAAATATTCAAATTGACCCTTTGCATAATATTAAAGTATATGCAGATGCGAATTCATACAGGATGAGTGCCAATTGTACTGTTTCATCAATATAAATCAAAGGTGCAAGGTATGGAAGATATCAGTGTTAGCAATTAATTTGCTTTTGATTTGAATAATTTCTATGTCTAGCTATGCCGTTTGCTTTCTGCACACGAGAGAAGCAGCCTTGGTGTGAATTTGCAGAGTGTGCCGAGTCAGGACCAACTACTCAGCTCTGTCAGGAGGTACACCTTTATTTTTGTTTGTGCTCTTTGTAATCATTACATGTATTTATATGCTCAACATATTCCAACATAATTTAATATATAATTAGACGTGAAGTTTTCACATCGGTACTCATTGGCGTTTCTTTCACCCAGCTTGCTCGAAAATACAACATGGTGATTGTGTCTCCAATTCTTGAGAGAGATCACATTCATGGTGACACGCTGTGGAATACTGCAGTGGTCATTAGCAACACGGGATATTATTTGGGAAAGTCCCGTAAAAACCACATCCCGAGGGTGGGAGACTTCAATGAATCCACCTACTACTTGGAGGGGGATACTGGCCATGTAGTCTTTCAGGTTAGTCTTCCATATGTTAAAATATAACTTGACCAAATTATCACAGGGTAAGTGGAAGTAGAGAGAAATAAGGTGCAAAATACAGAATTAATTTATGTTCCATGTATAGAACATAAATTTGAAAGAAAAATGTTAGTTCTTCCACTGGAAGTCTTGTTTTTTTTTTCTTCTATGTTTTCTTCCTCATTTCTTGATGGAAACAAGTATTGTAGTATCACTGATACTACATGCCTTGTCAGCAATGTGTTAAATTCTCCAGTATGGTATGTTTCGAATGTACTTTCAAAAGATAGTTGAAATGCATGGGCATTTTATATGAAAGCTACCCTTTCAAAGAAGGGAAGTTGCCATATACCATATGGCATCTTATGCATTATGGCATCTTATGCAATATTGTATGTAAAAAAAAAAATTGCCTGATGGCAAAATGGTGTATTGGTAAACAAGTCATTGGTACATCATCATAGGTTTATGTCGTCATGTAATAGTAAATACATAATATAGTCTTAATTTATTCTGCATTTTGGAATAGGGGAAAATTTAACACATGGTGGCCTTTAAGAGAAGAAAGCCTCAAAAGATAATGACCATATTCTTGTTTAAGTACGGTATATATTTTCCCTCTTATTCTAGACACAGTTTGGCCGCATCGCTGTCAACATCTGTTACGGCCGCCATCACCCTCAGAACTGGATGATGTATGGTATAAATGGAGCAGAAATAGTATTCAATCCATCTGCCACTGTCGGAGGACTCAGGTTATTTGCCAGTTATCTGCATGTTTGTCTTGTTTGTCCATCTTCGTTTTTTTCTAATTAGACCAGTTGGAGGAAATTGAATAGCGAGACTCGTCCTCTACAAAAGTAGTTAGCCAGATTGAGCCATCCCATTTAGTTGCTCCTTAAGCCAGGGGTCCTATTCACCTATGGATTGCATCAACAGTAGACAGGATAGGCAGACATTGTGCACCACCACACCTTTAAAACTGGACTGGACACCTTTAAAACTGTCAGATCCTATTGTAAGGATAACGCTGGAAAATTCTGTCAGAATGACCTCAAGAACTGAGGTCATTCAACTGCACTACAGTATCTTCCAATCACTTCTTGGCATCAAAGAGAGAACTACCAGGAGTGCTTATGCCAGTTGCTAGATGAAGCACCCGCACCACTAACCCCAGCTGCTACCAGCCCCTTACATTTCACTTGACTATTCTCACACATACTTGAAGCTGGAAGACACCAATATGGTTAAGTGGCATGTTCTAACTTTAGAAATTTGTGTATAGCTGTGCAATAGACTCGTGCTTTTATTGGATGCTTGTATGCAGCCATTACATGTCTACTCTACTGAACCAGATTACCATTGTTATCTGTTCTGGATCACTTAATGCCTTAGTAATGGATACTCTCTTCCTGGGATGTAAGCATTTTTGCTGGACACCGATATTTTGGGTGCATTCATCTGCCATGTCACATTTAATATGTGATTACGTGCTATGTCCAACCACTTGGGCTGGATGGTCTCATTTCATGCAGGTCGGTGTTCAGTCTCCGACTGTCCAAGTGGTTGGGCACCATTCCTTTCCCCCTGTCCCATCCCAATTTATCCTGATACCTTCCAAGTGGTATATAGTTGTAATGGCTTGGCACTTTCCCTTGATAGTTTCCTTCCCTTCCTCCATTGTTTACCCCAGTTCATGCCTGGCTTTATTATTTGTTGCACTATTGAAAAAAATAATTGTTTAATCAGATTACCTATCCAAGCCTTCAAGTACATAGGTTAGGGTACACCTAGAACACGTGATTAATCACCTAAGTGTAGCTACAGGATGAGAGCTATGCTCGTGGTGTTCCATCTTCCCAGTTGACATGTCCTGTCAACCAGGTCTCTTCTTTGCACTGCAGGTTCAGAGTGGAGATCCTAGAATTTAGTGAACCTGGTATTTGTTTTCCCTGTGTTGATAGTCATAGTGATTAGTGATTTTACTATTCTCTATTAGTGATTTTTTTTTTCCCTTATGTCATCCCTGTGGCCTTCGGCACTTTTCTCGCTAGGAGCAAGGTTGGTCTTGCCCACAGGTTTGAAGTGTGTGCTAAGTATGGGTGACAATTACTAGCACCCCAGTTTCATCAGTCTGCATATGATGCTGTTGACAAGCTAAGGGCTTATGCACTGTAATATCAGTGCCAAAAGTACCATTTCTCACCTAATGTGGGTACTGTACCTCCAATTGCAAGATGCAGGGCAAATTTTTAGTGTCTTCATGTCAAACTTTCTTGCAACCTGAAGTTAATCTATCGCTGAAGAATACTACATCGATATTATATTCAATTTAAAAAATGATTCTTAATGCAAGCTTTTATTGCTTAATAAATTCCCATTAAAATCATTGTCTATAGCATTGTCTTTACTGAGCTGGATATGTAATTGTTTGGAGCCAAGGTTAGGAGCACAATTTTTATTCCATATTTGTATTAAGTGCATGGTTCAATGTTCTGTCTCAAATGGACTCAAAGGGAGATCTGTCTCCTCAAGTCAGGATGTTATTGCCAATTCTGTTCAAGCTTCTGATAATTATGGACCAGCAGTAAGTTTTGTATTGAGTATTGTCAGATAAAAAGCATAACATAATTAGCCTATTACTCACATTGCATAGAGGAAACAGTGTACGAGTCTTGCTAGTTAATGGTACATGACACTGAGGTACAGGTATTTCAATAAGTTGATGAATATAACATTTTGAAACTCTTTAAGAAAGTCATGTTATAACTACAAAGGTAACCAGTTGCTAATGTACATTTTGAATTTAACAGTGAGCCATTATGGGGTATTGAAGCAAGGAATGCTGCAATTGCAAATAGTTACTTCACGTGTGCCATTAATCGTGTCGGTACAGAAACATTTCCCAATGAGTTCACCTCAGCCGATGGAAAACCCGCACACAAAGACTTTGGTCACTTCTATGGGTCATCGTATGTAGCAGCACCTGATGGCTCTCGAACCCCGGTGAGTAATTTGTGTTTGTGGCAGCTTAACTGCACAAAAGTGGCCCAAATGCATAAATAAATTAGTAGAAATGCTTTATTACACTTTAGAGAAGTAGAATGTCAATACAAAAATCCATAATTAATTTTGTGACCATAAGTGTCCCTTGAAATTATTTAGCCATATTTAACCTTGGATTTCAGATATTTTTGGTGATCAAACATGGTACAATATATTCAGTACAATATATGATGCTTTTATCATAAGCATCAGGATAGCATCATTGTAAATGTATGCAAACTATCAAAAATGTTAAGGAAAATTTTAACTAGCGCAATAACACTCTTTTTGTAACTTATGATATTTAATATTTAGTGTTTTAAATCACTATATACGATAAAATATGAAGTTATAAAATATTGTATCATTTTGTATCTTAAAACAGTACTAGCATTCTTTATTCTGATGTATTAGGTACGTAATTTCTGTAGTTTTTAAATTTACTGTCTTCAATTTTAAATATAAATTAGCAAGATTCCTTAATATTTTATATTTTTCTAATTTTCTAGGGTTTATCGAGGACTCACGATGGACTCCTTGTTTGTGAGATGGACTTGAATCTCTGCCGACAAATGAAAGACTGCTGGGGTTTTAGGGTTAGTGAAAGTGAATCTTTGTGATGTACAATTTTGAGTGAAGGAGGTGGAGTGAAAAGTGTAGATGCTTCACCTTCACCAAAGTATTGAAAAGACAAATTTTTTAAGCTAAAGATTCCCATTTTCTCCATTTGTGGGTTAATTCTGTAGCAGCTGTTATAAATCGGTGCCTCGTGACTCGAAACACAAAATTATAGCATCATACTAGTGTTCTAAAAATTTTCAAGGCACTATAGGAGATGAGAAATTTGAATAAAGACCTACATATCCTTTCAATTATAGAGTATTGATGAATAGTTATTGTCATCTCCAGTACTCTGTAAATGAAAGGATATGCAGGTCTTTATTCAACTCTCTCCTCCTACAGTGCCAGTGAAAAATGTTAGAACACTAGTATGCTTCAATTTACCATTTTGAGAGACCATAGAGCAACACTCTTGCTTTATGCAGATCGGCATTCAATCCCCAACCGTCCAAGTGGTTAGGCACCATTCCCCCCCCCCCCCCCCCCCCCCCCCACACCATCCCATCCCAAATCCTTATGCTGACCCCTTCCAAGTGCTATGGCTTGTCACGTTCCCCTCCCTCCAGTAGCTGATGGCTGTTGCAGGCAAGTCCATCCACTTGAACTGTTCAATGTGGCAACGACATAGCTTTTTGCAGGTCAACGTTCGATTCCTGATAATCCAGGAGGCTGAGGCTTCGTTCCTTCACTTCCTTTCAAGTTTTATGAATTCATAATAGCCTAGTTCTATCTCTTGATTACCTTACCTTGCTGCAAATAAAGTAGCATTGATGTTCCTAAATACTTGAGATGCAGGGTTCAGTGAAAGATTTAGGACTAATTATAAACCTCTTGTTACATTCTATCAGAATTATTTGATGGTGATGATTGTACAGTATTGCTTTTTTTCTCGTTTTCCTTAGATGACTCAGCGTTTGGACCTGTATACGGGATCATTGTCTGCTGCCATTCAGCCTGATTATCAGCCACCAGTGGTTAAGGACATGTGCTGAGAATGATTCGAAGTTAATTACTTCCCCCCCCCCAAGCACAATGATTTGAAATTTTACTTTTCTGTTAATATGTATTAACACTGCAATTTATTTGTGTAGTAACCTTACTTTCAAGTATATGATGGATAGCATAGCATCGTTTACACATAAATACAACTTCGAGTATTGCTTCTTAATAATATTTAAAATATTACCATTTTGATGCTTGTGCAAGTCTTCAAATATTGATGGTTATTGAATTTCATTTAGTATTGAATTTTTCAAATGGCCTCAAGCACTGGAACCAGTCCTTTTTATCATAATTTATCGTAAAGTTAATTTTAATGTTCCTAGTTCATCTCTGTTAGTAAATAGACATTTGCATTATGAGCAAGAAATGTTTGGATATGATATAGGCAAACTTTATTAAAAATACTTTACAATAATTACTTCTAACTTGGATAAAGTATTATTTATGTAAAGTGAATGCCCATTGGCTTAATAATATAATATTTTGAAACAATGAATGCTGCTACAGGTATTTTGTTTACACTGTTAATTGAAATTTAACAAGTTTCATATTTTTGGTTTTCACATACAGGTATACATTTATTCAAGAGTTTTACTTCGTCTTACTCGATTATTTGCCTTAATTCAAAGCTTTCAATCTTTCTGCTTGCCAGTATTCATGTGAAGCTAACCAGGAGATAAATTACATTGCTAGAGGTGTTGTAATACTGTACAAATTTTGCTGAACCTTGGGACTAAGATGCCGCTTCTTTAACCGAAAGGTCCCTAGTTTATCACAGCAGAACAGAAATATTTGTGTATGTTGCTTTTCACTTTGCCTATGTTTACCTAGCAGGAAATGGGTACCTAGGAGTTAGGCAACTGATGTAGGTTGCATCCTGAGAATGGTCAGTATGTAATTGGCTTAGGAATGCCTCAATAAGTTTGGACAAATTTCCTGTCCCAGATTATGGGGAAATGAATTATCTTCCCTTTCTGGCAGATATGTACAAATCACAGGTAAGCTATATATTGTATTTGGAGTCATCTTTGTTTATGGTTTGGAGAATTGTGGCTAAGCAAGTTTGAAATCTTTTCTACCCCATTATATGTCATGAAGTGAAATGAGTTTTGGTTCATCCTGGACCCTTCTTATCAAGTTATAATGACTACAAGTACCTAGGACACACTGAAGCATCATCACTTTAGTTTCATATGTTGGGGGGGGAGGAAAGGGGGGGTATATGTTTTCAGGCACGTTAGTGAGACTTTCCCCCCCTGCATGTCATGTAGGTCGATTTGAGTAGTTGGTAGTTAGGTAAGGAGCTGCCATTGGTGCAGTAAATAAAAATACTGTAGTGTTAACTCCTAGCAACAGGACTCCAATGGAAGATTAGTCATGTTTTATACTTTTATTAAAAATGCTGTTAATTAGTACTGTAAGATTCCAGTAACATTTATTTTTGTTTAATAAAATTTTATGAACTTTTATTTCAAAGGTTTTCTCGATTGTGATATGATTATAATATTATATTAATTCTTTAGTTATGGTATATGTTGGCTTCAGGTGAATTTCAAAGCAAATTTCATGTTAATTTATTATGATTAAAGATGTATTTGTGTAACTTAATTTGGAATTTTCTCTGTACATAAAAAAATTAAATAAAGCTATTATTGATCATAAAACTATATCGTATATCCTCATTATGTACTCTTTCTACAATACGAATAACATTGATGTGTGATACAGGTGACCACTCCTGGAGTTCTTTCAGGTTAGGTTATTAACCAACTCCACACAAGCATACATTCAGGATTTAATAGTACTGTATTGGACATGTATGGGTGATTTTTTTTTTTATTAACAAAACTTAGGTATACACAGCAATGTACTGCTACCCTATTCTATATGAAAGATTACACAGTGTAGATCAAAAACTAGATATAAGTTCATCTAATATTCCCATCTCGCAGGAGGGTTAGTCATACATAGAATCAGGGGAGAAAATACCAGCTTCAATACAAAAACAAATCGACTCTTGACTAAAAAAAATCAGGAGAGAACACGAGATGTAAAGCTGATCTATTAGTCTCCACTAGCAAAATGTGGATACAGCACAAGAATATCTTCCAATATTCCTGAGTGTATGAAGTAATTACAGAGCTCAAAGTACCTCATACCATTTAGTGTGAAGTCACTTATAACAGGGCAATCACATATATAGTGTTGGAGTGTATGTCCTAACTCTTATTCACATAGTTTACAATTGGAATGTTCACCACTGGGGGAGATTCAATACATGCGGCCACCTGCCATAGATATCGCTATCCCAGCCCAATTCTGGCAATTACAATGTGTCACTGTCTAGTGGATATGCTGCCCGTGCATATAATATTCGGTTCTAAACATGTCATTGTTCTTTATACTCGTGCTTTCTGGTCTTTGTGCGCCAGTAACTGCTCTTCTCTGCAAGCATTGTCTGGACATGTATGGGTGAAAGCATTATCTGGACATGTATGGGTGAAAGCATTAGTAACCATTCAAAATGAACCCATGAGAACTGATCTTGATGGCCCACATATGCACAAGAATCAACATACGGGAGGAGCTGAAACTGTCAACCATATACGAAAGAATTGTTAAACATGACCTTCTGTTTCAAGGTTATGAGAGATTAAATGTTAAGAGTGCAAACTGGTGGTGTTGGCAAGAAAGTGCACCAGCTGGTTACCTGAATACAAACGGCTGTGTAGAAATGCTGTGATGTGCAATATACCAGTTAATGATATTCAACAATCTACACAATGTGATACAAGTGTTGTGTAAATATTTTGTCTTGTACCCACTGATTTGTTACTGTAATAATTTTTATTTAGCGGGAATTAGTAGTTAGGTAATCCTTATGCAGTCGTGTCGAACTTGGGCTGTGAGTGTCTTTTTGAAGATAATATCTTAACTGAAATTTATTAGTTGTTAAATAGTGATTAAGGTAATGTCCATTTAGCCATACACAATATTTGCCCTTCTGTGGTGATAATCCCATTCTCTCAAGTATATATGGATATCCTAGTTGCAGTATTTGCACTGCCGTAACTTATAAGTTCTTCGGTGACAAGAGATGTACACAGATTACTAGTGTTAGATTAAACAAATGGCTTAACTCCACAGAGTTAAGGGCTCTGGGTTGAATCCCAGCATCCGAGGGATTTGGTCTCATCATCTGAGGGCTCCGGGTTCAATCCCAGGCAGGCCAGAGACGGGTTGGACGTTTCCTGTCACTTGACGCCTGTGTTCACCTGGAGTAAAGATAGGTAGCCGGGAGTAAGGCAGTCGTTATGGGTTGCATCCTGGGGCAGGTCAGGACCATAGGGAGACGTCAATAAGTACCTAACTACATACATCCTGGCTGGCCCTGACAACGGGAACCATGTGGCTAACCATCTATATTGATGGCGTTATTAGGGTGCCTTAATTATAGCAAGTTCTTGACCTATACTGATGTGTAATCTCTCGTGTAACAGGGTACATATGCGTACAAGTGGTAAGCTGATGCGTGTATTAGATGTGCTATGTACCTATATATACTTCATATAAGCTCTTTAATTTAAAAAAAATACATCATAAGAAATTGAAGTGTATATGGCGAGCAGCAGAGCAGAGTATCCATCTGCCAGCTCTAATGGGCAGTGTCTGGAGCGATGCGCGGAGGGGGGGCGTGTGTGCGCGTGCGTGTGTGCTGTCCCCTACCCTGGCTGTGATGGAGGCCGTTGCCCTCGGCGACAGTGGCCGTGACAACGCACCAGGGTCCGCCCCCACTCACGGAGTGAGGTCAGCCTCTATAATGGCGTCTCCCCCTCCCCCTTCCCCTCTATAATCGTCCCCTTCCCCTACCACGCCCCACCCGAGGTGCGTCGGCCACCCCATGACCTCCACCTCAGAGACACTGGGCAACCAAATGTGTATGTATGTATATATATATGCATGTATGTATATGCGTGTATGTACATGTATGTATTCTAATAATACTTATATCACCTATTTCGTCAAATCTGCAAAAATTAACTGTTACCCCCAAAAACAAAGTTTTATTATATGAATTGAAATACTAACAATTTTTTATAAGAGTAATGAACCTTACCTAGGCCTATCTAGGCCCAATGGAATATATATATATATATATATATATATATATATATATATATATATATATATATATATATATATATATAATAGAGAAGAAGTGCCAAGCAATTATGACTATATAGCACTTGGACAACCCGTTCTCGCAAATTCGTAAAGTCAATATTGACTTATTAACTACGTGCATAGGTGATATACTAAACATAATAGATACCCTTAAAAAGATTCATAGAAAACACCGACCTTACCTAACCTTGTTAGTATCTTAAGATAAGCATCTTATTGCTTCGTAATTACAATTATTACCTAACCTATAATAGGTATAGGTTAAGTAATATTTGTAATTACGAAGCTATAAGATGCTTATCTTAAGATACTAACAAGGTTAGGTAAGGTCGGTGTTTTCTATGAATCTTTTTAAGGGTATCTATTATGTTAAGTATGTCACCTATGCACATATTTAATAAGTCAATATTGACTTATTAAATTTCATCCAGCGGCCGACCCCAAAGACGCATTCATAAATTTTAAGATTCTATTCATTCAAAGCAGGAATTTTCTAAAATATAAATTAATATTATAATATATTAGAATACTCTCCATATTTAGGCATTGGTTAGGTTAGGTTAGGTTAGGTGTTTAGGTTCTGTTGGCGATTATTTGTATTTGTAGTACGTGGGTGAAGCATTTATAGCGTTGTGATTCGAACAAAATTCGTCAGTGAAACACTTGTTCCGGATATGTTCGAACGTCAGCAGTTGTGAGTCGTGTGTAAACAATACAATACAATACAACAATACAATTTTATTTAGGTAAGGTACATACATACAATAAATATTTACAAGGATTGTTTAACTTATAGGTATAGCTAGTACATACAATGCCTAAAGCCACTATTACGCAAAGCGTTTCGGGCATGATAAACTTAAATGACAAGCTTAATACTAATTGAGCATAATGAGTAGAATGAAAACAAGAAATGAAAACATAGATGAAAAAGCAGCACAAATACAATTATGTCGACAAACAGCGCTCTTTAAAGAAAAAAACAGACATTGGTTGACAATAGAAGGGTAAGGTAGGTTACAGGGAATTTATTAGGTATAGCTTCGCTTTTAACTTAAACTGGTTGAGAGAGGTACAGTCTTTAACATGGTTGGGAAGGTCATTCCACATTCTGGGCCCCTTGATTTGTAGAGCATTTCTAGTTTGATAAGTCGTACTCTAGAAATATCAAAACTGTATTTATTTCTGGTGTGATGCTCATGGGTTCTGATACAACCTTCTATGAAGCTTTTGAGATCAGGATTGGCATTATAGTTTAGCGTTTTATATATGTATAATACACATGAGAGAATGTGCAGTGACTTAATGTCTAACATATTCAGAGATTTAAGTAGGGGTACCGAGTGATGTCTGGGGCCAGAATTGGATATTGTCCTAATAGCAGCTTTGTGTTGAGTAATTAGAGGACGTAAGTGATTTTGGGTAGTAGAGCCCCAAGCACAAATACCATAGTTGAGATATGGATAGATAAGGGAGTAATAGAGAGTCACCAGGGCAGGGCGTGGTACATAATATCTGATCTTAGAAAGAATGCCCACAGTTTTTGAAACTTTTTTTGATATGTTTAGAATGTGTCCCTGGAAATTAAGCTTGTGGTCAATGAGAATGCCAAGGAATTTGCCATCTAATTTGTTACAAATTTGGGTATTGTTTATTTTGAGATTTATTTGATTAGAGGATTTATTGCCAAACAGAATATAAAAGGTTTTGTCAATGTTAAGGGTGAGTTTGTTGGCAGTTAGCCACAGATGGACTTTATTTAGCTCAGTATTTACTGTGGCATTTAGAGCAAGGGGATCAGGACTGGAGTAAATGAAGGTTGTGTCGTCAGCAAATAGAATTGGTTTGAGGTGTTGGGAGGCATTTGGAAGGTCATTAATGTAGATGAGAAAGAGGAGAGGGCCAAGTATGCTGCCCTGGGGAACACCAATGTTGATGGGTAGGGTGGGAGAAATTGTATTATTCACAGAAACATATTGGAGCCTGTCTGTAAGGTAGGATTTGAGGTATTGTAGGGAGTGTCCTCTGACTCCGCTTTTCATTCATAAACAGGGGGTTTGGCGGGTGCATGGAATCACTTTTGGATCTTTGTTTGGAGGACGGGCTGCATTTACAGCGTTGTGGTTCGAACAAAAGTTGGCAATTTTGGACAACTGTCAAAATTTGTCACTTCCGGAACACTTGTTCCGTAAGTGTTCGAACGTCATCAGTTGAATCATGCGTAAACCGTTTTTCACTCATAAGCAGAGTTTGGCGGGTGCATGGAATGGACTTTAGCCTTTGCTTATGAGGACGGGCTGTATAATTAATTATATGATGGAACCGCCTACCCGCCGTAGGATTTAAAGCTCAAACTATGGAATTTCAAAATCTAGTTTGATAAAATCACCAGGACAAATCAGGGGACCTTTAACAAGCCGCTGGCTTCCTGTCCTCGTCGAGGACCTTACACGATTACCTCACGATACACATAAAAAAAAAAAACTAAAAATTGTGCGTAATTAATGACTGTACATACTGTAATTTACAACTACTTTACCTAATATATAAGTAACCATTGAAATTCATTGTAATAATTCATTATTATACTATACAATTAAAACCTGAGGATGATTCTTAGTGTCATTCTTAGAGAGTTCTTAGTAATTCTTAGATGCACTACAATAAACGTAAGGTAAGAATTAACACTACGGTCATTTCCTGCACTCATATGAAATTTGACATTTACAACACTGCTGAGAGACGAAGTATCTGCTGGTGTTGTTAGTCGGACAGCCAGTGTTGCTAACGCGCCTGTGTATTATAACTGGCTGAATAATAACTGCTGCCGTACCCTTATCAGACGAAACAGCCCCAATTGCGTGTCGTGTGCGTTTATAGATATGTTAATGACTCCCAATACCTCCCAGCCACGCAAGTTAGCATACACAGCCATCATTAAAACGAGTAATGAAAAACCTACAGTACTCACGAGATAAACAATGCTTGAAACCGTTGACGTGTGTGGAGATAGCCTAAGCCTTAGAGATAACTCCTAAACTATAGCAGGCGTAGGCTGTCTCTCCAGAAGTGGCGACCACGTCACTCTCAGACCTTCACCTTCAGTGACATGACGACCTTGAGGCAATACTTCAGATGGTCACATGAGCTTCGTGTTTACACTGATGGTCCTGCTGCTCTTTAGTGCAGTTGATTTAACATGCCCTTGGTTGGCCACGTTTGCTTACACCTAATGCTGCTGTTCACCTAGCAGTGTTATAGGTACCCGGGAGTTAGGGGACTGTTGTGAGGTAGCATCCTGGGGAAAAAGTTAATTGTTGGGAGGACTTCGATGAGCCAAACAGGCTTCGTGTCATCAGAAAATGGAATACCATGTGGTAGACGCCAGAATTAGGTTGGGCTTCCTGCCCTCGTCGAGGTAGAAGTGTTAGTGGCCCTCAGGTAAATTCAGGTAACGTTGCGCGAGACATTAAACTGCTAACTACACATTCACCCAATCATGAGCACTCAACACGCAGGCTCTGTTGACTGGCTCTGTACTCTAGCCTAGTGTTGACATCCTTCAGACATGCCGGCAAAGGGTATCTAGAACGCTACAATTATCTGATCCTTTCTCGGATGCTTGAATACATTCTAATCGTCTATACCAAGATATCGCTAGAGAAGACCAACACATTTTAATCCTCTTACGTATGTCAAACACTCTCATACGAGATGAGAATCTTAGCTTCAGACAACCAACTATTTGATGATAATAATTCACTGTGTCGGGGGGGACAGGAAGCCAAGAGTTAGTACCTACTTCCTGCTAGGTAAACAGAGACATATGGTGAAAGGAAATGTGCCCAACCATTTTTGTCCCGCCCGGGATTCGAACCCGGAATTCTCGATTGTGCCGAGAACGAACCCGATATAACACTGCAACCTCTGAGCTCACCGTACAGAATGCGGACGTAGAGAGAGGCATCTGGCGGAGTAGGTTCGGACACTATATAACACATGCCCATAGGTACTACATCCGCATTTCTGAGGCTAACCTATAAATATATATAGCTAATGTTACAAAGGTTGATGTAAATAGCTACATGTGTTATACCACCACAAGCAAAATCTGTATGGCTTTTTAGTTCTTCAAGAACGCGAGAATGCATATAGTTATCTTGACGGTTGATATAGTCATCTTGACGGTTGAGAGGCGGGACCAAAGAGCCAGAGCTCAACCCCCGCAAGCACAATTAGGTGAGTTATCACAGGCTTTCAGGTCCTCCCCCCTTCATACTGGAAAGTCTAAATGATTTTATTATTATTATTGATATACAGTATATACAAGAGTTCTTACATTCTTGTACAGCCACTAGTACGCGTAGCGTTTCGGGCAAGTCCTCAATCCTATGTTCCCTGGATTCAGTCTACTAGATTAATGACTGGTCGTTAATAATTATATAATATTGTAGAGTATAGCCTAGTTCATTTTTACAGAATTTATACGAAGAACGCTAAGGATTGCGAGGCAGTAGACTGAATTCGTGGATAATATGCACATCACTAACTGGCCAGACCCACCTTCAGCTAAGTGAATGAGTGACTGCGCACCGGCTTTGTCCTTGACTAGGGAGGATCTCGATAAGCTTATATAGTAAGCTTCATGTCCCCAACAACCGGACACATAACCATCCTGGGAGATGTGGATATTTGTTTTTTAACCAAGCTCTGTAGACCTCCGTTAGCCCAAGGCAGCAGCACAGCGCTGCGCTCACAAACAAAAGCAAGATTAGTTAATAATTTAAACAAAAAATGAATATTCAGTTAACCTGCAACTGAGTGCCCCAGCAACTGGGTGCCCGGCAACGGGATGTCCCGGCAACTGTGCGCCCGGCAACTGGGTGCCAGGCACTATATTACTCTTGGGCTAAGCTGGTAAAATCTCATTTGGACTCAGGACACCGAGACGAACACGAGTACTCTCTGCTCCTTCAACTACTAAGCTACGTTGAGAACACCACTTCTCGTTCTGTAACTGCACCGCGCTCTGTAAGGTTAGTTCATTTTATATACGCCTTCCTGCCCGTCCTGTGAGTGGTTAATGGACCCCATACCCATCCTGTGAGTGATTAGTGGACCCCCATACCCATCCTGTGAATGATTAATGGGCCCCATACCCATCCTGTGAGTGGTTAGTGGACCCCCATACCCATCCTGTGAGTGGTAGTGGACCCACGACTCAACCTTTGAGTGATTGTGAAAATATTTAAGATATTAATATCCACTGCGTTATACCCTCCGATCTAATCGTTTACTTATTAATTTCTGAGAACGAATTAAAATAATTATTTATTACCCTAAATAATTTAAATATGGATAGTAGTACATAGAAACTCATGTTTAGGTTGCAAAATTGGGTAAAATAAGTTGCTAACTTATCGTAAGTTCACATTTAGTAACTATAGTTAGTTCAGACTGCAAGGTACGAAACACGCACGAAGATAAAGTACAAGTTCAGCGAACAAAATTTTGAGAGCATGTAGGACGGAATTAGTTTAATAACATGATGTCTCAGGTCCCAAGTTAGCCGTACTGGTTGACTGATGGCGATTAAGCCTCCCAAGAGATGGTACAGGCATCAGTAGCCTGTAAGTAGCCGTATTGAGTCCGTTGAAGGCAAAATAGCAAGTTGGTAGGCGTGGGCCTTCCATTCACCCCCCTCCCCCCGGGCAAGGGGGGGAAATTTTGACGCTGCTGTGTAGGCTACGGCGGCTGGCGGGCAAGATAGAGTGTGATTGATTGATTGATTGATTGACCATCCACAGATCCCCGAGTTTTGGCGGAGTCTTGTAAGATATGGAAATTGTTAGAGTTGAGATATTATTTTGAGTTTATTTATTCATTTATTCATTTATTATGCACCCCATACCCATCCTGTGGGCGGTAGTGGACCCCATACACATCCTGTGGGCGGTAGTGGACCCCATACACATCCTGTGGGCGGTAGTGGACCCCATACACATCCCGTGGGCGGTAGTGGACCCCATACACATTCTGTGGGCGGTAGTGGACCCCATACACATCCTGTGGGCGGAAATGCACCCCATACCCATCCTGTGAGCGGTAATGGACCCCATACCCATCTTGTGGACGGTAGTGGACCCTATACCCATCCTGTGGGCGGTAATGGACCCCATACCCATCCTGTGGGTGGTAGTGCACCCCATACCCATCCTGTGGGCGGTAGTGGACCCCATACACATCCTGTGGGCGGTAGTGGACCCCATACCCATCCTGTGTTTGGTAGTGGACCTCATACCCATCCAGGATTGATGAGAATAAGTTGCCATCCTGTGCACAATGACAAAGCTCTATATAAATATATAATTGGTTCTTTTAGCTAAGCAAATTAGTGCTTGTGAACTAATAATAACAGAAAATGTTTTTTTAACAGCAGCAACTAACATATTCTAATATCAAAATTAATAATATAGATTTATCCTATATAAAGTGAATTATCATCCTCCAGATTGTGCCCTAGTCATGGCTGCTGAATTCGAACATTTTGATAAGTTCCTGGATGACCACATCCCTGAGAAGGAACTGAAGGTGGTCAAGAAACTTCTCTATGGACGTGAACACCCGTAAGAAAAAAGAGAGCACTTAAGCTTATACTATTACTATTGTACTAATAGTAATTGTTAGTGGACTCCACTAACAATTAATACTAATTAATGGACTAATTAATACTTATACTATTAATAATACTATTAAAATAATACTATTAATTATAAGTGCTACTTAGTTTAGGCTGCCCATTTGAAATGAATAAAAGTTTATTTCCAGACTTGCTATCACTGAAAGTTTTTTTGTTAAATCATTTGAAAAGCTTTAAAGGAATTCAGATTATTTGAAAACACTTATATATAAGAAGTGTTTAAGGAATAATGAAATTTTAAGAGATAACATCAAATTAATATTTAAATTGGAAAATTTAACGAGAGGTACACATTTTGATAATTATATTCCTCTACCAAAATAGTTATGGTTTAAAGTTTTACTTAAAGTTGTATTTAGGCCTGATTCTTTTATAATTCCTGGTTTTTTCGAAAAAATTACATTTATTTAAATATTTGGTATACTAATGTTAGCTGTAACTTGTACTCTTGGATTAGTAGAGCATATGCAACTCATTTAACTTTAATGCATATATGGCAAATTAGTCTCATATTGTTTATTGACTTTTCAGCCCTCTCGCAATCCCAGAGAAAGCTGAACAATTAGCACAGAAGCACAACTTTGAAATTAAGGGATTTCAAATTTCCGCGGCTCCGGAGGAGTTAACCCCGCCGAGGTAAACACTGCTTGAATTGTCTGTAATTCCAACATGTTGAGAATTTCAGACGCTCCTTTTGTTCCCTTGAAGTCCAACCACTTGGGCTGGATGGTAAAGCGACGGTCTCGCTTCATGCGGGTCGGCGTTCAATCCCCCGACTATCCAATTGGTTGGGCACCATTCCTTTCCCCCTGTCCCATCCCAAATCCTTATCCTGATTCCTTCCAAGTGCTACATTGTTATAATGGCTTGATGCTTTCCTCTGATAATTTCCTTCCTTCCTTGTTCCTTGAAGGCATGTTAATAATATTCTATATTGGACAAAACAATAATTTTATTATGGTTTATAGAATAAGCTGCTGAATCTAAAACATACTATTAATAAACACACACATTGTGTTTTCACGTTTCACTACATAATACGGTATAGCTCTACTTTTTCTTCCCCCCTCCAGAATTGTACGTGTTTGTGTGCTTCAAAATTCCATAGTTCTCGAGACCTCGGCTCCAGTTGCCGCCCAACGCGCGGCCATTCATGAGAAAATTACCCACATGATCGATGCTGCGGCTCTCTGTGGAGTTAATGTTCTCTGCTTCCAGGAAGCTTGGTGTGAGTATTAGTAACATTATTACGTTCAAAGGTCGTAATTAATTCATAGTATTGTGAGGTGAATGTAGTCTGCTTTCGATCTGCTTGGGAAATGTATGACTTCAAAACCTCCAGGAGTCAAATTTTGAGCCTTCAAGCCTTCTTTGCTTCCGTAGATGGGCATCGACCCCGCTCAAGTTGTGATCTCGAATGATACATGTATATCGTATTATGACGTCAAAATCCCCTACGGACAATATATAATGTACTGAAGAATAAATCATTGTAGCTTTCACAAGCAATTACGTTTTCTATCCTTGGATCGTCGGTTAGGTTAGGTTCTGGCAATTTAGTTGTAATTTTTGTGACTGTGTGGCCTTATGCAACCTTGAATACCACCGAGAGAAACTATAGAGTAAACCTCTCGGTTTATATATATATATAAAATATTAAAAACTACTCAACACCCCCTCTGAACGATCATTGAGACCGCTAAGATAACCAGTTATTCTTCTGAAACTACATAACTTGCAACTGCCTCAACGGTAAGCCGTCCTCTCAATTAAAGCACTATAAGAGGCCCTAATTATGAAGTGCATTTTGAAGTGATTACAACAAGGGTCCGTAACCCCTGAGAATGAACTGCAGTTTGTAAGCAATGCAGATCCTCAACGGACACAGTAAGACTATGTAGCACTTATAATGAAGTACGAGATATGAGAGATATTGAGGAGTGTTTGGGAAGTAAGTGTGAATTTAGTTTCATTCATTTTTTCCCCATCTAGATATGCCATATGCATTCTGCACCCGAGAGAAGAAGCCTTGGTGTGAATTCGCAGAGTGTCCTGAGACTGGACCAACTGCCCAGCTCATTCAGGAGGTAACAGACGATTAATTTTCTTATTTTATTATTTGTTAGTCATTCTTGATACATGTATTTACATATTCAACACAGTCTAGGGTAATTTTTTAGCAACTGAATGAATGCTAGGTTTCTAATGGGTGCTCAATGATGATGTTTTTCTACCCAGCTTGCTCGAAAATACGACATGGTGATTGTGAATCCCATCATTGAGCGTGACCACGTTCATGGGGACAGGTTATGGAATACTGCAGTGGTCTTCAGCAACACTGGAAATTACTTGGGCAAGTCACGCAAAAACCACATGCCCAGAGCGGGAAACTTCAACGAGTCCACGTACTTCATGGAGGGAGACACAGGCCACGTTGTCTTCCAGGTTAGTTTGGATTGATTAACATTTAACTTGTTAAAATCTTATTAGCCTGAGGTAAATATAAATTTTAGGGAAGCTGAAGGCTAAATAAAGAAACAGATTGTTTCTTTGTGTTGGACGTCAATTGGGATTAAGCATATATTGCAATTTTATATTATATTACTAAGAGTAAATAGTACACAGGATTTTAATAAAGCGTTAGAACATTGCAGAAGATTTAACATGTGAATGATTTTTAAATCTCCGAGAACAACGTCTCAAATATATAATGATAAATGTATTTATATATCATATATTTGTCTCATAATCTAGACGAAGTATGGCCGTATTGCTGTCAACATCTGCTACGGCCGCCATCATCCCCAGAACTGGATGATGTTTGGCTTAAATGGAGCCGAAATTGTGTTCAATCCAGCTGCTACTCTTGGAGGACTCGGGTTAGTTACAATTGTTATTTGTGCATGTTTATGTCTTGTGCTTTCCTTCTAACTAAAACAGGCAGAAGAGGAAATTCATTGACAAGCTTAGGCTGCTGTTATAAATATCAGTCTTTTAAAATATCAAAATATAAGACAATATCAATCTTTTAAACTTGCTAAAAAGTGTTACAAATAAGTGTAATACCAGCTGCTGACATTTTCCATTTCTGAACAGTGAACCAGAGTCGAGCTTCAACAGTGAGCCATTGTGGGGAATTGAAGCAAGGAGCGCAGCTGTTGCCAATAGTTACTTCACATGTCCCATCAATCGCGTCGGAACAGAAATATTCCCCAATGAGTTCACCTCAGGTGATGGAAGACCAGGTCACAAGGACCTGGGATACTTCTATGGGTCCTCATACGTAGCCGCACCTGATGGTTCTCGAACCCCGGTGAGTAGTGTGCATCTGTTCTCTCCCGTCAGAAAATCTATTGCAATATTACAAAATCCTGATATACTGCCAAAAGCTCTTCGGGAAAACAAATCCTCGATTACAAACTTTATAAACTCGCAAGGGGTCACTATAGGAACCGATACTTCCTAAAGGGTGGCATTGGGGCCCCACTCCCTAACTAGCGTATATGGCACTCCCATACCCACCACGTGTCATCATGAAAGATTTGGTAAAGCTATCCTCAAAAAGTCTGTTCTGCTTTGGACAGACATACATTTTCTTTTATAGATATATTTAGTACAGTAGTTGCCTTAATTTAATATTAACTCTATTTTATATGATGTATAAATCAAGTAAACAATTTAGATATAATTACTACAATAACATTATTGTTTTTATTTTATTTATAGAGTTTGTCAAGGACTCGTGATGGAATTCTTATCAGTGAAATAGATTTGAATCTCTGCCGACAAATGAAAGACCGATGGGGCTTCAGGGTAAGTGAGAAGTAAATTTATATATATATATATATATATATATATATATATATATATATATATATATATATATATATATATATATATATATATATATATATATATATATATATATATATATATATATATATATATATATATATATATATATATATTACCTCTTTTTTCCGAGGTTAGTTATATTCATTGTTTATGTTCATTTCATGCATTGTGAGGTTCTTTATCGTAGAAGATGAGAATAATAAGACAATTTAAATATCACGTTCATATCCTCTTAAAGTAAACTATTTTTGTTGGTTTTCATCATATTACAAATCCTCGATATTTACAGAATTCACAAGATGCATGGTTTACCATGTAAGTAAGCTACGTATTCCATAACCATTTAATGGCATTGTTTTGTACCCTTTAAACAGATGACCCAACGCTTGGAGATGTACTCCGCGTCCTTGTCTGCTGCCATCCAACCCGACTACCAGCCGCCCATAATTAGAGACACCTGCTAAGAATGACAGGAAATACATCGAAATAAAGAAAACATTTCAGCCTAATGATGGATAATTTCAAACTCTCGTTAATATTAATCGTGCCTTGTGTGTGTGTCTTTCCTTTCAAGTAATTGTAACATCATTTGCTCCTATGCCAGAATAATATTTTGAAGGCTAGTTTAGGAATAAAATATTTGTACTGCCTGTGTACGGTTTTTTTATCTATAAATCATTATTTGGATGTACTTGACTGCTGAAACCAGTCGTTTTATCATTATATTAATGAAAAGTTATATATTTATCTTTGAAGTTTATAATTCTTCTCATTAAATCCATGTATACCTTTAATTTCTTATTTTAGTGCAATCTGTAATCACTCATACTTTTGTTATCTTAGTAAAAACATAAATTAATTAGCATAATTCATTAGGCTATGATGAACTGTAATTTTAAAACTTTTTAAGAGACAATAATTCATTTTACCTTCATTCAATCTTGCTGCTTTACACCATAAATAATGTATATCACTCAGTCGGTTAAGTGCCATTGGGTCTGGCTTGGGTGAGCTTGTGTGCTCACACACTTTACATCATTATAATAATTAAAACATTTCAGTGATGTATAAGTCATTTTAGCATGGCTATAATGTATACTTTTAACGTGCAGTGTTGTACACAGTGTACATAGTGTTGTACACAGTGTACTGTACAGATACAGTACATTTTCTTCAAGTTAATTGTGTTGTTTTATGCTAATTCATTGTAATTTTTTCAATGTTTTTTAACTTCCTTTTACATGTATACTCTTTCTAATTTCGTATAATTATATATTATCTAAACAAAAATTGTAATTACTTCAAGATAAATTTATATTTTTATTATGTTTAGAAAATATGCTTATAAAATGTCTGTGCATTTGTGAATAAAAACTAATAAATAAATTAATCATTATATAATTCTTTTCACTAAGTTAAAATTGATAATTGACCTAGCTACAGTATGCTGCAGCTGGGTTACAGTATCCTGCAGCCTAGGTTCGTTATGAGGATATCATGAGTACAAGAGTGAAAAAGGCAGCAGTGATACTAAAAGTCCCCATCTCGCAGGATGGTTAGTCATACAGGGCCATATGTTCAGTAGCCTGCACTGGCAAATTTTGAGTACACTGTGAGGATATCTTCAAGAATACGAGAGTGAATAAAGTAATTGCTAAGCTCCAGGTACCTCATGCCAACTGGTCTGAAAGGTCTAATACCTGGGCATTCGGTGATGTAGTGTGGGAGATCATGCCACAGTTGCTGCTCACAGAGTTTGCAACTGGAGTGCTCAGGATTGAGAGATCCGTCACCTGTAGCCACCTGCCACAGGTAACGGTAACCCAACCTGATCCTTGCAACCACTGCGTCGCACAATCTGGTGGACGTTTTGTCCTGCCCATAGATTTAGGTTTCAAATCTAAACAAATCATAGCTTTTTATACTAGTGCTTTCAGGTCGCCGAGAGTCAGTAATTTCTTTCCAATCAGGCCTGAGTGTTTGGCTTACAAGGCAGCCCCATTATGTGCCTTCTACGTAAAAAGCCTATCTACTAACTGGCGTGTATCTGATATAATCGTGCTGGTACTACTGTAACACAGTTAAAATTACAGCCCTGCTCCTGTGCCAGGCAAGTCCATTACGGGCTCACCATAGCCTGTGCTACTTTGGTACTTTTGTTCTAAGTAGCTGAATCTAAAACAACAACAACATACTGTAACAGCAGTTGTGTATTTGTACTCATTGAATTTGTGCGCCCCTTGAGGGACTTAAAGTAGAGGAGGGTAGAAATAGCCTACGCTACTCTATCCCTTTGAGATGTATTTTTATCTTGTCTCAGTAAACATACTTGAACTTGAAGGAGTCTCACAAGGCAGGTTGAGTCTGTGTCAGCAATGGAAATATGAGAAAGCTAACGTAGGCGTTATCCTCACGCCTGGTGGGCGTTGTGAGGCTACAAACAGTCACATCTTGGGAACAAAGGCTCTGGCGGTCCCGCGTGGGATTATAGTGGGAGCGAGGTGCTGGTCAGTAGTGTTGTTGTTGTTGATTGGTGACGAGGTTGGTTCCCAGAGGTCAGTCAGGTCAAACGGTCAGTTAGTGTGTCTTGGGTTTTGGTGTTGAACACATGCGTTCCCGGATACTTCAGACTGGAGACCATAGGTCACTTCTTAATTCCCCTCCATGGATTTTAGTGAATTGTAAGTAACTTCCCTCAGTCTTCAATTATCATTTGCATATTATAAATAAATTACCTCCAATTGAGATAGGAAATAATGCTAGCCAGGATGAAAACGTGGCGAATTAAATCAATTAATGTCACACCGTGTGTAGAAGCGATGATATCTTGCTTAATATAGCGAGTCTCAAAATACTGCATTGAAGTTTTTGCGAGGCAGGACCAAGTATAACATTTGGGGTTTACGGCTCATACTACGTGATATGAAAAATGGGTTTACTGAGAATTATATAACTGTAGTATCACCTTAACCAATTTTCCCCTGAAAGTATTGTACCGATTTAAGTATATGGACTATGCTAACTATATTGGGGGCCCCTGACGGCATAGTGAACAACGCTCGGGGTTCTTAGTATTAAGGGTCCGAGTTTGATCCCTGGCGGAAACAAATGGGGCAGTTTCTGTCACCCTGATGCCCCCAGCTGCCCCTTAAATAGCAGTAAATAGCGCATTAGCAGTAAATAGGTACGTGGGAGTTAGACAGCTGCCACAGGCTGCTGCCTGGGGATGTGTGTGTGTGTGTGTGTGTGAAAATTAGGATTAAGGACTTGCCCGAAAGTCTATGCATGCTAGTGGTTGTACAAGAATGTAAGAACTCTTGTATATATAAATAAATAAATAAATATAAATGAGGGTGGCGGGGGAGACCTTCAACAAACCGCAGGCTTCCGGTCCCCTTCAACACCACCCCTACAGAGATGGCGGCCTTGAGATAACTGGTTTATTTCATAAGGTGCGTATAATAATATAATGAGGGATGCGACGCACGTAAAGGATAGTATTGACCGCCAGCGTGGGAGCGTGTCCCGCGGTGAAGGCGACCGCTGGCGGGCGAGCGTGGCGGCCTTCACACTAACAGGTGCTCGCTCTCTCTCTCAAGTTCCGCCTTCCTCCTCTTAAGACATTCCCCCTTTCCCCCGCGCTAAAGTTCGTTTGCTGGTGGGTTTATATAAACCTTAACTCATAAATACATTAATGCATACATAAATCATGTATAAATAAATTGTATATAGTATTATAATTTATTATTGTTATGGTGTTATTTGTGACAACGGCCATGTTCGTACACATATCGGGCCACATGGTGTAAGCCCGGCTGGGAACAGGACATAGAAATTGTATGCTCCATGAAAAAATATATATTTATATTGGCCAAGAATAAGCATTCCTTAAAGTTTATTCTTTAAATTAACCGGGTTATATAATATGTATTACATCCATCAAAGAGTTACCGAGCACGTGGGGACAGTTGCCATTTAATGTAAAAGTTGTGTATATTTGCTCGTGAAAACATAACATGGGAATCATTACGTATCTCGGAAGATAATGCTTATAAACTTTGTTTAACTTTGTATAAAAAGGTGTGTAGAAATATTTTATATTTAGAGAAAAATAATTTTGTTTGGATTTGGTTGTGGTCGAGCCATGTGAGAAAATACAGGCGCTGCATCTTTGTATTTATAGGCTCCAATAAAAATATATTTTAAATAAATTACAGTGTTCATCTGCGAGTTGAAAATGATTGGATTCTTAGAAAATTATCCTTGTGTTCCTTTTAGGCAGGAAGCGTTTATCGAAAAAGATATTGCTGTTAATTGAAAATATTTGAAAGATATAAAGACCTGCAGCATCGCAGTGGTTCAACGACCTGCCGCCAGTGGCGCTGTTGTTTGTTGTTGGTGTGTGAGTGAACCGCGTGTTAATGCGTGTATTTGTGAACATTTGTTGATATTTTGTAAGTATTGAGAGTTGACACATATGTCTAGTATACTTAAAACGCTACACTTGTTAAATTGTAGCCTGACCGAAAGCGACCTTGGTGAAAATACAGAGAAAACGGAGACAATATTGTGTGTGTCGTCTGCTCTGTCCCCATGCTGTCAGAAAGTTTAGCATTTACTATTAATATATTTGGCACTTGTGGTCATGGAGTCACATTACTTTGGCATGGTTCTTATAGTGCTGTTATCGGCCCATGAGGTAGTGTTGCTTTAAGAGGTGTGGCGGAAGGTGTTGCGCGTGTGTAGGCGGCAGTGTGTTTCTTGGAAAAAACTTGAGCGTGGCAGCTTCCTGTGACACGCTAGTGAGTCCCTTGAGCGTGAGCTGGCGCTCATAGTCTGCTACGCTCCGTTGGCTTGGCGCTTTCCCCTCATAGTTTATTTCTGTTGGCTTTGCTGTGGAAGGGGGGGGGAGGCTAATGAGTCAGGTTTAAGTCAAGTTGTAATGTTAAAACTAGTTAGGAAATATGTCATGGCTGTCTCAAGAAAGTCTAATTTTTGTGTTGTATTGCATAAATACATAAAAAATAAAAAAAAAATACTGAGCAGGTAAAATCTCTTCAGATTACATAGGTTTACATCAAGGTGGTGTATGTAGATTTGGGTATACAAATGTCAGTCATTGCTGGCAGTGTTTACTTCACTTTGGGTAGGCCCTTGGACTGAAGCACAAGTCTTCAGCCCAAGGACTGAAGTTGGTACAGTAGTTGGACGACTAAAGTTCATTTGGTAGTTTCTCTTCCACTGATTACTGTGGAATCATTGAAAGCCAACCAAAATATGTTATGGGCCAAGTCAGCTTTGTCAAATTTAATATCATATTTTTGCTTCTGAATTATTTGATTTAGAACTTAGGGATATGGCTCTGCTGATGTTAATGTGGTGTTAAGTATTTTACCCTTTTTTATTTTTTTTATATGCAATTTGGGCTAAATTTATCATCTATGTTTGATACTAACCTAACTATGTATATATGTGTATGTTAATACATGATTTTACCAATGGGAAAATCTGTTGCAATGTCTGCATACAGTATGGTCTATTTAAGAAAAGTATAACATTTATCAGTATTTTAAATATTTAAGATGTACAAATGAGAATGCATTTTCTTAGTATCTGTACTTGAATACTGTATGTATATCATGATATTAACCATAATTTTTATTTTAAGAAAAGTGCTTTTCATATATGTAGATAGCTTAATAAAAAATTACAAGAAATGTCACAAAGCAACAAGAGCTATAATGTTACAGGAATTTAGCAACATGGCATTGCAGCTGTAGGCTAAGTTTAACTTTAATCGAACATATACTGTAGGGTCTGATCGGGAACTGCATGTAATTTGACCCTACAGGTCATTTACCAGAAGTCTCAAATTTATATTGAATAGTTATTAATACTTTGTTACTTTATGACTGTTAGGACACTAATATTAGCTAGGAAATAAGGGTTAAAACATAATCAATGGAATATGCATGTTTGAAAACTAGGGAACATTGTTCTCTCCTACTGTGGAAGAGTTGTGTGAAGCTGTTGCCGGGCATCGGATATAGGTTTACAAATCTCATTGTATTTCCAAGTTGTGCACATTACATATACAATACTGTATAGGTATTATGTTAGCTGTTCAATGTTACAGCAGTCGAGTTCTTAGTGCCTCTGCTTGTGACACACCTAGCAATATGACAGTGTGGACCCCTAGGCAGCATCCTCTCAAACCCTAACGTATAGAATAGTCATGCATAGGTTTATGATTAGTCTACAAGATACATACACAGTAACTCTCAAACCTCTTTATCCCTTTTTCCAAGCCTAAGAATTATGAATACATTGGATACAGGCCAGCAGGGTGCAATGAGTTCTTCTTTGGTGACTTGGAATTGCATGGAGTTGACCTGA